ATTAGCGGCGTGTGTGTGGGTGACACAGTGCTGTCAGTATCAGTGTGGCAGCAGGTCTAGAGGTCGGTCATGTCAGGCACCCGAAGGCTCTCTCTGCCGCTGTGAGTCTTTGTCAATGTTGTCGTCAGAGTTCAGCCTTCACAGCTCCACCACCTTCCTCTCTGGGCTCCATAGATCCATGAGCATCTGTGCCCTGCCCTTAGAGCTCTGGAGGCCAGTGTCAAACCACCTTATTGAACCATATGTGACCCTTGCACTATGTCCCAAAAAAACAGACAACGCATGCTGTTGATATTGTTTTCTTTTCTAAATTACTGCTGTAGCTGAGGTTATTATGGCGGTTTTGTTGTGACAAGATCAATTTTCTCTTGTCTGCCATTCCCATCCATCTTTGTTCAAAACATCTACCTCAGGTAATCACACTCCTCATTAGACTAATTGGTCTTAATGAGCTAAAATCACATTATTCTCTCCTTTCATGTAAGATATGTAATTTTTAACTCCGTGTGTCGTGTTGAAAAGACCCTGAGCAGATGGAGGCGTGTCATTGATTGGTTATGATAAGCACCGCTGATTAGCACGTCATCCTTTGATCTACAGTTAGTGCTCCTCAGGGAGTGACTGCTGGTCATAAACCAGCAAGCCCATTTTCAACCACTTCTCCCACGGGCTGACCCCTGACTCCTCTGACCTCACACAACCTCATGACCAGTCAGAGACAGAGGAGCGTGATGCGTCAGCACTGCAAAACAAAATTTAAAAAAAAAAAAGAAAAAAAAGAGAGGACATTTTTGAATAATCCTTCTGCAGGGTTTAACTTCGGCTGGTCCTTTATGAGGATGGGAAATTTTTCATTTAACGCTGTAATTATTCTCATTTGTCCTGTGTGGTTTTACGATGCTCCACTCACATGTAATTAATTACCACTGATCTGACAGGCGAGGATTTAGAGCAGCTTTCACCTCAGAATCCGCACAACTGAGACCAGAGTGAAGAGGAGGTGATTTGAAAAAAGATACAGTGCTATATATTTAAGTTTTATTTCTCTCTCCTTCTTTGTCACATACACAAGCATAATCACTATTGGGGCTGCAAACAACATTATTTTCATTATTAATTCATCTGCTGATTTTTTTGCTTGATTGATTGATTGTTTTGTCTAAAAAGTGTCAGAAGATGGTGGAAATTGCACATTAGAAATTCCCCAGTGTCTGAAGTGACATATTCATATGTCTTGTTTTTGTCTCGTTTGTCTCAAAGATGTCTAATTTACATGGATGTAAAACTGAGAAAAATCAAAAAATTTAAGAGGTTGCAATGTTGAGGAGCAATGTTTTGCATTTTTGCCTGAAAAGTGGCTCATCAGTAAATCAACTGATCATTTCAGCTCTGTTGTCACAATTTCTGTTTGGTTGTCATAGTTCATTATAGTAAATTACTCAATTAGTCAATCGACATGAAATTGAATTAATCTTTTATGCCATTGATCGGGCAGAAATGCAGAACACTCACTGATTTTTAGCAATGCAAGAGTTTGCTGCCTGTCCCTGTTTTACAATGATTGGATTAGAAAATGATTCCTTTTTTCAATATCAGTATCAACATTTTTGTATATTAGGTAATCAATCAATTGAAAAAAAAAAATCAATGCAGACACAGATTTATTCATTTATGCAGGTGTTGCTCATTGAACAAACTTGCAGTCAAATCCAAAATATGAGAGAGGCTATCTGGCTCTAAGTTGCACAGTCAATATATCAAGAGAGCTTTGTGTTGCTGCAATGTTTAGACTTTTGACTTTGCACCCCAGTAACAATTTAGAAATATGAAAAGAAAAATCCAGTTCATGCCCTAGATAATAATAATTGAAATCAGTTTCAGCTTTGCAGAGGTAAGGGGACATGAATTATTTTTGGTTTCCAAAGGAAGGCATGAAAGGAAAAGCTTTAGAAGCACTGCATGAATTGATAATTGGAATAATGATGAGTTTCCGCCCTAATATCATGCATGATGAAAGCAAGTGTGCAGATTTAGATTTGAGTATCTTCTACAGTAAAGTCAAGCTCTTAGAGGATGGCAAGATGTGACATCTATAACAGCTATAAACAGCTCATATCAAGGTGAATATAGTGTGTTTATATGTAAAACAGCATGCACAGTTGACGCATGGTATCAGTACATCCACAAGCACATGCACTGCCCAGCACTTATCACTGAGACACAACGAGCAGATGGATTGACTGTGAGGGGCAAGTGAGGAAAAAAAAAATGAGGGGAGTGACAGAGGAGGAGGAGAAGGAGGGGTGGGTAGAGACAGAGATAGAGAGGCAGAGTCAGTGAAGTAGCACAGGGGGGCTTGTGAGATGTACAGAACAAACACTGACAGGCTGAGACACCGAGAGTGAGAAAGAGGGAGCTTGCAGCACCTGAGAGGCAGCAGCAGCAGCTTAATTAGCATCAGGAGGAGAGTCGGTCACAGGCAGCCACACCAGGACTCGTGTAGATAAACTGCTGTTACCGCTTGTGGAGCAGCACGGGGAGGCTACGGCGGAGGAGGAGGAGGAAGAAGAGAACGAGACAGGAGCCAAAGCTCGAAAGAGAGGATGAGAAGCATCGCTGCCACCTGACTCATACTGGGAGTCAGACTCAGCACCTGCAGCACTCCAGCTATCAAGGAGATTGGGGCAGACGGAGAGAGAGCTGCTGAGATTATGCGTGGGGCAGAGAGCTCCTGTGGATTCCCCATCTTTGGCAAAAGCAGCAGCAGCAGGAGGAGCAGGAGCTGTGGCTCTACAAACAGCAGCAGAGCTAGCTGGAGCTGCAGCAAAACAAGGAGCTCTGACTCCAAAGCTATTTATTTATCAAGAAATGAAGGTAGCATTTACAGCCAAGGTGTAACAGGAACCATCTGTCGATGTAGCCACAGTGTTGAATGTACCTGTAGCCAGAGCACTGACGGTAACTGCAGAGCTGGTGCAAAGGTGCCCACAGCAGTGCAGTTAGTTGTAGTTGTAGCAGTAGCAGGGGGGCGCAGTGGCTCAGGACACTGAATGACCAGTGTGGCTGATGAAGGCCACCTGGATCCGCTTGCTGAAACGAGCCAAGGGAGGTCGCGTCAAGAGCTCCGACGCTTGTGTAAGCAGATTTTGAGTGTGTTTACGTTGTGAAAGTTGGTGTTTTTGTGTGCATGCGTTTGTGTTTTGTGCAGTATGTCTGTGTGCCTCTCGTGCATCCACCAGTCCATAGTGTTGGGGGTCAGTGTAGCACGGTTGTGTATTTCCTGGTGATGATGAGAAGCCTAGTGTTGTAAACTGTTATGGCTGTCAGATTCTGGGCAGAGCTCCATATCACCTCCCTCTGACCCACTGGGACGGTGTTCTTTATCACACCCCATCATTTAGACGTGACCTGATGGAATAATTATTGCAGTCTAGGTATGTTCACCTGCGCTCTTCGAGGACAGATGTAGCTCATGAAAAAGATGCTAATGTGCAGTAAACAGCCAATTTAGGACATTTATATCTTCATGTGGGAATGCTGCATATTGAGCATGAGCAGCGTTTGAAGAATCTGAAAGACACGGCACATGCAGTAGTTGTTGATGTTTTGAGAGCCACTGGGGAATGACTACAATCCCGAACGTGATGACAGCAAAAAAACAGCCCATGGATAATTAATGAGCTTGCTTGCAAATGAGTTATTCATATCAGGTAGGCCTACAGAGCAGGGAGGATGAGAGAGACGGAGACGGTTGACAAGTAACTGGGTTTCATGTCAGACGGACGACAAACATGAATAACCTTGTGTTATATACGGTAACAACACTCTACACATAAGTCAGGTAATGTAAGTGGAGAGGAGAGAGAGGCATGGACCTCCTTTGTATGTATGTGATGGCCGGGTAATTCTAATCAGGCACAGAGTGAGGGAGGCTATTTTTAACTCAGACAACAGAGTGTAATGGTGCAGTGAGATGAATGAAAGACCTTGTGTGGGTGGCATAGTAGTGTGCAGGTAAGGATAAAGCTCAAACCTTCACTTGGTTAAAAATGCTTTATTTTATTCTTAGATGTATGTCTACCTGAAACTGAGTTGTGCAGAAAAACAAAATTATGATATTACACCTCATCCATCTGTTACACATTCACCCAGTCAGCCTGAATAATTTAAAACCCATTCAGTTTTTTTGTAGTTACTGTTCTCTGCCTTTATAGTGTAGAGTGGTTTAAATCAACTTGCATACTATGTGCTGTATAGCAATGGCGTGCAAGCATTACTTAACCTACTTTAGCAATTATTTATGATGTATTTTCATGTTGCATATAACAAAATATGTAAGTGTGTATGCGGTGCAATGCACTGCACTCAGGAGTGTGTGTGTGTGTAACGTAGTAATCTCTGGTGTACTGGTGTGTGTGTGTGAGGCTGGTTGTTTAGAGACATAAAGATATAATGGGACCTGTTGTTCTTCAACATTTCCCCCAGAGTTTGTCATAGAAAGATCACAACAAATCTGCAGGCGAGCGGCTGAGAGAGAGAGCTAAGGATAGAAAAAGAGCTGCTGGTAATGTGATTCTATGAAAGATAGTTTGTGTCCTTTGGCATGCTTTACCAGAAAAAGAGGAAGTGTCTATTATTTGTTAAAGGTCCAGAGCTCTTGTGATTTCCTCAAGTTGTTGCAGCGATTTGTTTGATTGCAGAATTACATGCTTGCTCATTTCATCCGGCGCAGCCATTGCGCTCATTATTTCCTGAAATTAACTGAGATTCCTTTGATGATCGGAGTTTAACACTTCAGTCTGTGTGGGTGTGTTTAGACAAGTTGCACAACCTCCAAAAGTTGAATATTTCTTTGAAGAGTGAGGGCAATGAAAAGCAAAGTAGTTGTCTCTGGTGTCTTCAAGACGCTGTGAGGCCCACTAAAGTGTGTGTCCAAATCGACATCGTTAAGTTTCAGTGTATGCGTTTCGCTGAGGTGTTGCTTGTTTTGTGTCTCGCAGGGTTCGGCCGACTCCTACACCAGCCGTCCATCAGACTCCGATGTGTCCCTGGAGGAGGATAAGGAGGCAGTGCGCAGAGAGGCAGAGCGACAGGCTCAGGCACAGCTTGACAAGGCCAAGGTTGGTATCCTACATCTAACGGTGCTAAGCTCACTCTGTCCAGTTCCTGCCAGCTGAAACACAGCTTCTGTGGGCTCCAACAGGGGTGTGTCAGGAACATTTTTGATTGGGCCAGGTGGGTGTTCAGAAGAGCAATTTGAGTTTTAGACCGTGAAAGTGAGAACACCTATGGAATGTGATGACTTTCTTGAGCTATTCTAATGGGCTGTTTGAGGGTTAAAGGTACTCTATGGAGCTTTTGAACACTAGCAGCACTATGATATAAAGTCTTTACCATCTTTACTTTGGATCGTGAAACCTTCCGTTGATTTCACACCAGTCCACTGACGGGCAGTTGATAGGTAATCAGAAAAGAAAAATAGGAATGCATCCATTAAGACAAAGAAGAAGACTTCAAGGTCACAAGCAGACATATAAAAGTCATTTGATTTAAGAACAGATACAACAATACATTTGATGTGTTTGGAAGACCTTAAAACTCCACATGGTTCACATACAGTGTTTTGGTGAGAAACAATGAATGTGAACTTTTAGTTACCTTTAAGTCCAGGTTTTAGGGAGTAGTTGAAGGTTAAGGTCAGGGTAAGACATGTAGTTGTGATGGTTAGGGGCAACGGGATGCATTATGTCAGTGTGGGTCCCCACAAGTATATTAGTACAAACGTGTTTGTATAGACGAAAACTGGTTTATTATGCTTGAATGAATGATGGCAGGCATCACTCAAATAGTAACGTAAACTTTACACTGGCCTGTTTGTTATTGGAAGATGAAATGCTCAGTCTGCTTCCTTTTTGGTCTCTTTTCTTGGGCCTACATGTTTTTCTTCCACTATTACAATTACAAGCAGCTTAGCTTCTGTATTTGCATTCTGGTTCTTGGGGGGGGAGGGGGGCAGATTTCAGTGTGTCTTTGCACTGAGAAAACCATTCTTGTGAAGATTTCTGTGTAAAGTTTGTGTAACCTGACTTGGATTCGATGTTTTTACTAAACCTGGGGAAAGATTATTGGACAGTGCTGCAGGACTGACTAGGTGACCGTAAAAGAAGCAGGATATTAGAGATGATTTCAGCTGGTTTCTCACATGAGGAAAGGGCCGTTAGGGGCCGCTGATGTGAGAGGTTAAGGGCCTCGGAGGGCTCAGCGTCACTGTTTATCAGAGCCAAGCCTCGCCTGCTCTGCTCTGCTCTGGGCCACAATTAGCAGCATATAAACAAACACACACACGGCAGAGCAGGCTTGCCTATGCGCAACAGGAATTGCAATCAGAGCTCCCTTCCACAAAATCACTCAAATCGCTGGCACTGTAAAGATTTATGCCTTTGATCTGTGAAATAATTCTGCTATCTCCAGTGCACATTCTGTCCTTTTCCTGCTTTACAGCTCATTGGGTAACTGGTGTTCTATTTTTGCATATTAATTCAAGCAAGTGTCTAAGAAATTGGTTTATTGTCTTTCACTGGGTGTTTAGTGTCTATAACAGCTAGTTTGCTCATTAGCTGTAAGCCAAAGCTCTTGGCTCTCCATCCGTTCTAGCACACATTTTCCTCCTGCACTTTGTCTCTGGGTAGCTCATAGCTGGCAAAGACAGATCATTCCTGCAGATCTATGTTGTTATTTTCCAGAGTCACCCTCTCTGGCTCACTAATTAAAAAGATAAGTTGCCTTTATAGATAACCTAGCACAGATAACCCCCGCTGGCATTTTACATGACAGATGACTAGTAAAAAAATAGCCTCTCAGTGGTCTGGCCACCAGAGAGAGCGCAGGCTGGGGTCAGAGGAAGTGCAGACTCTCTGACTGTGAGTGTTTATGGCCAGTAATTCACCGCCACTTCACCAACATACCACTGATATTTGTAAGTAATGAGGATATGCTTGGTCTCATATGGTCTCATTGGCACAATATATTTTTTCACATGTATTTACATATACACACATAAGAAACACCATCTGTTGTCCTTAATTGACCTTAAATAGGTCAACCCACCAATTTTACACATCAAAATGAGGTAAGCCAATCACTGGCATCACTACTCAGCTTGTAAAAACAGTTGTTAATGTCTTCTGTGGCTCTGGAAGGAGTGTTGGCAAATCTAAGAAAATAAGCCAAATGATGTCATGAGGGGTTATCTCAGCTTGGGTTTAGGGACCATTAATCTTTAACCGAAACCCTGCATTTCAAATGGGGCAGTTTCAAGTCGAGGGCTTTTACCAGGGAGGGAAGGATTAACCAAAAGATGCTTTAGAGTTGAATCATGGGAAGTGTAGGATCTAAGGCTTTAGGAGCCAGACCGACATTATGGAATAAAGGTCTGGGTATTTTGGCCTCTGCTACATTGATTTTGACCATTTTGGGTTTTTTTATTTGTTCCTTTTTTCGTGCATTTACAAGTGAATTCTCACTTCATAAGTGTCAATTTTCTCTATTTCTGAAAAACTTAATTTGGCAACTTCATGAGTGAAAACTAATACTGCTCGATGAATTTTGAGGACCTTGCAGCTGGAGGTAAATAAATTTCTTGGCTGGCTGCTGCCAGTTGAGTCTGTGATTTAGTTCAGGTATCACTGATGAGTCCTGCTTCCTCTAAAAGGAGTGCTCTCAGATTTCACTCCACAAGCTTTAACTCACCAGTGACAGTGGATGCAAAGGGAATCTGACTTGTTAAAATAGTGTGCACACATAACAAGATATTACATAATGTGTGATAGAAAACAAAGCATAAACACACTCTAGCTATAAACTCCAGGCAAAAAAGAAACAACCGGTAGCTGCAATGGCTCAGTTATAGACATTAACAGCCTCATTACTTATCATTACTTGCTGTGTGCATGCCTACATTATATTAAAGCAACATTGGATAATTATAGAAATATCTCCCCACATTAAATTAATGAAAGTTACGATTCCCCACATGCAATGATAATAAATTTTACAGGCTCTCAGTGCAGCGTAAGGCCAGAGCTCAGAGAATTCATTTCAAATCGATCCACAACATTCAAGGTGAAACAATGTGGGAATCTTGATTTATAGCATGAGATGTAGCGTGTGTGCTGCTAATGGAGAGGCTGCGGCATGTTACATGGCAAATCAGCAACAGCAAGGGCAGGTGTTCACTCAGTCACTGTAAGTACAGAGAGGCCGGGGAGGTATTATCTAATGAAATATGCATGGCGTGATGCGATATTGTGACAAGCGTTGTGTGGTGTTAATTGGCTGTGGTCCATAGCGCTGCCTCCCAGGGTTCCCAGTTACAGAGAGGGCTTCTCTAGAGCTGGTTATCTCTATCTTTTCCTCTAGTGAGCCTCTTATCTGCTTGAATGTGTCTCTTCCCCTGCTTCCTTTTCTGCTTGCTCTCCCCTGTCCTCTCTCCCTCTGTCCATCTCCCTTCCTCTCTCTTTTTCTCCTCCCTTCCAGTCTTCTCCAATCTCACGCTTCTTACCCCGTCTCTAACCCTTCACCCTTGTCTTTTTGCCTCACTGTGCAGTCAATACGGAATCCATAATGAAGGCCTGTGTTACGTAACAAGCACCAGAGCAGTGTGGGTTTGGTCAGGAGATGTAGAGATACTGTGCAGCAGCATAAAGGTGCCATTATCTACACATCCTGCAGTCACCTACGATATAAGGTGGCATGTTAGGACGTGTGTGTGTCGGTGTGATTGCCTACAGGTCTGTAAAAAGTCACTAAGCTTATAGAGAGCTTCATCTGACAGTCGGCCATGATGGATAGAGAGCGAGCAGAGCAGCTGGGAAGGGAGCAAAGAGGCAGCGGTCCATGAGACAACCCGAGAGAGCTCACATACGTGTACTAATGGACCTCATACCTTCATGCAGCCATGTGACTCAATGCATGCAAACACCAAGGACGCTCCGTCCTCCACAGGTCCCGTCACTACACATACTGGATTGGATGATCTCCTCAGAGGAGAAGTCACAATCACACGCACATACACACGCACACACACACACACACACCCACACACACACACACACACACACACACACACAGCTTACAATCATCACTCCGTGGAATATTTACATTGCTGTCCACATGAGGAAAATGATTCCAGGAGGATTTCACTAATGTATTATTTCCATAATCCCTCATTGTTCATCATAGTCACTTCACACCTGTTGTATTTCAATGAGGCATTAGTGGACAGTGAAAGCCATGATGAAGGAGAACGCTCATCATCTGTAAAGCCCCTCCTGGATCCCGCTGATGAATTATTCCCATAATAGTGAGCTTCACTGAGCTTTGCTGTCTGCTTCAAAGACCTCAAGTAGCATTCACATCCATGCAAATCCAATCAATCCCACTTTGCTCTTCACTTGTTGAAGGTTGAAGGTGAATGGGAAAGTGCCGCATGAAAAATATTCATCTTATATTGTGTCTTTAAACCTGCAATAAGTGATTTTCTGGCCACGTTTCCTCGTTTCTTGTACCTCAAGTGCACGCTTGACACTGAACTGAAACTGTACTCTACTTGTTGGTACACTCTCATTTTAAATTTCTTAGGGAAAATCAGATGGTAGGACTACTATGATGAAAACAACTCCAACATGACAGTTTGGAGTCTACTTCGAAAGCATTTTTCAGAATCTGTATAACGTCCAACAAAGTTAGAACATCAAAGCTCTGATCTAGTGGGTTCAATTTGGCTTCCAGCTGAAAATCACACACCCTTCCCCTCATCTCGCTCTCTTTCATCTGCAGGTAAATATTTAGCATGTGAGTACACGCCGGGAGATTACTCTAAGCTACATCCCTGTGCATTCGTTTTGGCTTTCACTTGACTTCTGTCATGCTTGTCACACAGTCAAAGGCAGAGCTAATGTAATCTGGTTGAGGGCATGACCATGTTGCCAACTGTTGCTGCCATTGCCGCCAGGCCGGCTCCAAGATTATGTCCGAAAGCGTTTTATGTAATTCTTAAAGGGATGTGTGTCTTATGTGGGTATTCTAGTCTTGCAACACACATCCAGAAATCTACTTTAGAGTGTTTGTTCGTGAGCATATGGTTCTCCCATTACAGTTTTTCATGATGTGACCTTATTCAATCTTATTCTAATCCCTTTTTGTAGAAATGTAATGCGCCACTATGGGCAGAGGAGATTTGCTCTTGCTTTGTGTAAAAATATCTGTGTCTGGAAGGAAAGAAAATTCCTATTTTATAGCGTATGTGGACAGTCAGCAGTGTTAGGTGGTTATATTACAGCCTGCGGACGTACAGGAAACATTTCATTAGCTGTATGCATTATCTCAATGGACTGACTGTTTGTCCCATAGAGGAAGGTCAGCAGTGATGAGATAGGAAGGCCAGTATTGATTCAGCCATTTTAAAGATTGTGGAATTGATTTATGAACCATTTACACGAGTGCTGTTTGTGCTACTCATAAGTGAGCGCAAGACAAGAGTCCTGTTTTACTATTGGAGTGGAAGTGGTGATAGCTGCGAACATGTTGCATCATTTCGAATTGTAACGTGTCAGTGTTTTAGCCTGTAGCAGAGAGAGACCGTGCAGCAGCCACATCATTCATGGAGAGATAGCTAGACTAAGTCTGGATGAGTCAGAGCCAGCTTGTACCCCTCACCCAGGGTTATTTTTACACCTCGCACAAAGATAGGAATCACAGCTCACCAGCAGTGCACAAAAAGATCAAAATTTAAACATGTTAAGGAGCGAATCTCTGCTGTATTGTGGGTATTCTGAGGTTATGGGTCTGGATTTTTTTCCCCCAGTTAAGATGCAGTTTCTGTTTGACAAACATTTATATCTTTTGCACAATCTGACATTTTCATTTAGCTCCCTCCTCTGTTTTTCCTGGCAGACCAAACCAGTTGCATTTGCTGTTCGCACAAATGTCAACTACAGCCCGAGTCACGATGATGATGTCCCTGTGCCAGGCATGGCCATCTCCTTTGACGCTAAAGACTTCCTCCATGTCAAAGAGGTGAGCGGTTACTTTCCTGTGTGAGGTGATATTCAACTTAATGATGCTGATGGAAATAAGGATGGGCGATTAGGAGAAGGTGATATATAAATATATAATTATTCTGTGCAGAAATTTAACAATGACTGGTGGATAGGACGTTTGGTGAAGGAAGGCTGTGAAATCGGTTTCATCCCCAGTCCAGTGAAGCTTGAAAACACTCGTATCCTCCAGGAGCAGAGAGCCAAACAGGGCAAGTTCCACTCCAGGTAAAAACCAGAGTCCTTTGCTTTGGCTGTTAGATCATCTAGAATTAATTTAGACTTCTTAAGAGTCGGTTTTGTTGATCTCACATGAGAAACAATCCTTCTCATTTCAGTAAATTGGGAGCAAACTCATCTTCTAGTTTAGGTGAAGTGGTTCCTAACTCACGGAAATCTACTCCTCCTTCGTCTGGTAAGTAGCTTTAGAGGCAAAAGTTAAAACTCCAGCTTCATATTTAAACATACTACATGCTTTTTAAACCAACTTTTAAGTTAGGTAAGGTAAGTGGACACTTAGATTTTTCATATTTTCTATTTCTATTTGCAGTAAAGTGGTCATTTGTCTGAGTTACATGTTTTAATGGTCATAACTGTACTTTTAAATGTTTCATTTAGTCTCTCGATGATGTGAAATGTACCCGTTACCTGTGACCTCCTGTGTTCACCACTGTGTGATGGTGCTCTTGTCTGTCTGTGTGCGTAGCCATTGACATAGACGCCACAGGCTTAGACCCCGAGGACAATGAGCTTCCCGTCAACCTGCGCTCCCCTAAAGCCAGTCCAAACACTGTCATGTCACCCCTAGCAAAAGAGAAACGAATGCCCTTCTTTAAGAAGGTAAACTGTACTACCCCACCCTCTCTTCTTCTCTGTTCGTCCGCTCGGCTGTGACTAAAATGCCTGTAGCTGCTCAGCCTCACTCAGCGCCCGTCCTGTTTGTCCACACCACCGTCCTTGCCCCCTTCGGCGTGTAGCCAGCCTTTAGCATGCATGCCTGTTCTTAACCTATCTCTTTCTCCTCTTCCGTCTCACCACAGCTAAGCAGAAGCAGAAGTCGGTAAGTTGTGGTCTGCAGTGCGCCGGCACAGCAGGGTCTGTGGATGGCCTGCGTGGTCTGAACTATACAATACCTGTGATTCCTGAGCAGAGACTCAGCTCTGTCCTGACCTCTCACCCTATCACTGCTCCTGCAATCCTCTGTGTTGTGTTTGTGATTGTTTATGTGTTCGTAAGTGAACTTGTGATCCTGATTCAGTGAGACCTCAGTGTGAACAGCTTTTTAATAAAATACATGAGATCTGAGTTTGCTTTTGCAATTGCAACATTTTGGAAAATACACTTTCTTTTCAAGAGTTAAATGAGAAGATCGATACCACTCTCACATCTTATATTGAATATGAAACTGGAGTCAGGACTCAGTTAGCTTATCTTAGCATTAAACACTGGCAACAGGGTAAACAGCTAGCCTGGCTCTGTCTAAAGGTAACAGAATCTGCCTAGCAGCATCTCTAAAGCTCATTAATTACATGCTATTTCTCTTTTATTTAAATCATACAAAAGCAGAGATTAAAAAAAGAAAACTCCAGTTACTGCTCCTGGTCCAGCAGAAATAGTCCAGCACCCAAACCCTTACAAAACCGCAACGTGCCATTTTTTTTACACTTGCTGTTTTACACATGTTTTTGTACAGATCAAACAAACAAGATATGTAATTTGTGAACATTAGCACCTGTACCTTTTTATATTTAATGGACAGATATGTATGAGAGGGGTATCAATCTTTTCATCGAACTCCCTTTAAGAAAGCATATGAACATATTTTGTGAATTGTCAAACTATTCCTTTTAGCTTACATATAGACTATATATGCCTTGTCATATTTTTATTAGTGACAACAGCAATAAACGCTCTTTACTATAGGGCTGGGCCTTTTTTAAAGTCAACAGCGTAACATTCAAATGAATATTTTTCCATTACCAAAATATATTGCATATGCATTATGGCAAACATATGCAAAATCACTTTTAAAACAATAATCAAATTGATTTCAATGCAGTAAACTTACTGTAAACTTACAGTAAACTGTTTAATTAGATCACTCCCTCAGTTGGTTCAATTTGGACAATTTAATTTTGTTAAACGCTAACACATGATAGTATTGTTATACAATAATATAGGCGCTGTTTCCCATGGTTACCCTGACCAAAATTCCAAGGTTGAACTAAGGCTACCGAAAGCATTTGAGCAGAACCGCACTGTCCATTAATACCCTCATGTTAGTCAGCAGTAGTGTGCATCAGTTCCCACAATGTCCCAGGGGAAGCCCAGTGACGACAGCAAATGTTAGAAAGAAAATGTTTAGAAGTAGAGAGAAGAGGAAAAAGAGACAGTAACACGTAGTCTACTGAAACACTCATTGTAAAGACGGCACAGACTGGGAGAGCAGCTTAAACATTAGGAGCAATAAGCGGTGATTGAGACAATGTAAGTGAAAGAATAACCGTGAGGTAAATGCAGCAGTATTTAGGTTGTTAAAGGAGGAAGGAGTCAACCCTCTGTTCCTCAGCTGTCTGCTCTCCAACCGTGCTTTGACTTAGATCATGCACTGGTTTTGCTGCAGTAAAAAATAAAAAGTATTTTCATGTTCCCCCAGTGTGCTGCTTATATCCACACACCCTTCAAACATGCTGCTCCGCCAGACGCCCAAGACACACATCCACGTCAGATTCACTGCCTTGACGTCAGATCTAGACAGAAATGCTCTTCCCCCAGAGAATGTCCTAAGAGTGTGTAATTAGGGGTTTAACGGTAGGTTCTTCCCTAAATTATTTTAAAAGAAGGCTTTTTATTCTGAGAACAAATATATGACACTTGCTGCAAAAAAAAACCCCAAAGAGCAGGACATGAATTTCATCAAAAAAAATGTTGTAGGTGCTTCATAAAACTCTTCGGTGCACTTGGAATTTGAAGGAATTTGTTTATTTGTTTGTTTTCTTGCCAAGCGTTAGAGATTGATACCACTCTAATGTCGGTACAGTAAATATGAAGCTGGAGCGTGCAGACAGTTAGCTTAGCACAACATGCCGAAATTCAGAAAGCAATATTAACTCCCACGCATTAAACAGGGGAAACGGCTAGTCTGGTTCTGTCCAAGTGTAACAAACCCCTCTCAAAAACACACCTTGTCACTTTTACACTTTGCCTTGTGTGTGGATTACACAAATGAGATATAAAATGTTAATTAGTGAGCTTTAGAGTTTGTTTTGTCATCTTCAGACAGAGCCAGGCTAGCTGTTTCCTCCTGTTTCAAGCTAAGCTAATCGTCTGATGTCTATATTTATATTGAAGATCGATTGCAAGAACCAAAATAAATGTATTTACAAATGTCAGCCTTTTCCTTTAAGTCTTCACCAGCTTTATTAGACATTGAAACTGAGGCTGTTACAGAAACTGAGCTCCCACTTTGTCCCAACAGTAGAGAGCAAGTTTACCTGTGTCTTAATTTCCCAAGTTTTTCAGTTGTAGCTTCCGTCAATCTTCTGTGGCTTCTTTCCCCTCTGACTAACCTCTCCTGTTATATGGTTCCCTCTTTACCCAGTGACATCAGAACCATGAAATGAGAGAAATAATCCGTCATTAAACATTGCCATTTGCTGTGTAAACCGCTTTGAAATTTCGACAACCTGATGATGTTACAATTTGTGAAGCAAATGACCAAATCTATCATAAATCAAAGCTTGTGTTTCGTCGGGCCAACTGAGACGTCCCATCTCATGGTTCACAATGTTCCAGTGCTTTTAAATTGTCTAGTTCATTGTTGTTCCGACCCCTCGAGTGATTTGTGATGGTGAGTGTTTACTTTGTCTCCGTAAATGAGTGCAACTGTTTTTCTTCTTCTTCTCCTCTCTAAAGACGGAACACATTCCTCCGTACGATGTTGTGCCTTCCATGCGGCCCGTGGTTCTGGTTGGACCGTCACTGAAGGGCTACGAGGTACGTCAGCTTTGATATTTCGCAACACAACACTGCCTTTGTTGTTCATGTTCATTGGGGATTTATAAGCAAACGTGCGTGCCCTTAACTGTTTTATCTTGTGAATTGCTTGTCTACAGGTGACAGACATGATGCAAAAAGCACTGTTTGACTTTTTGAAACACAGATTCGAGGGAAGGTAAGTTCCCTGTGACCTTTTAAAATACAAGCTCTCGTCTGGCTTCCTTCCTCATTCTTCCTCTCTCCCTGACTCTATAGGCTGGTATTTATCTGTCCCCTGAGGTTAGCCAAGGGAGTGTGTAACAAGTTTGTTTGGCCTGGAGATGTGTGCAGCTGCTTTAAATAGTCCCTCGCCATGTCCTTAATAGGCCATAGTGGGCCCTGGAGCGGGGAAGGATTCTCCTCACTCAATGTTGAGTTCGTCCACCCATCCACAGCAGAAAGGCCATGCAGTTAAACAACACTAAGATCCACTCAGACCGTTGGCAGCTGGAGATAATACTGTTTATTCCCTTTTGAGTCCTGTCGTTAAAACATGGTCAAAGTAACTTAGGCTACATGTTGTTATCAAGCTCCTATTAATTTAACAACCAGCTGATGTGCTCCTTTAAGTGCAGTTAGATGTTTAATGTGTGTGTATTTTGAAAGGCAACAGGAGTAGAGTATGTGGATCATATCGCGTATGTTGCTAGATGTGTAGAGAAGCTTCTTTGTGTGCACCGCGGCAATAAACCCACAGACATACGTCTCATTTCATATGTCTTTCTGCATTGTTACTGCTGGTTTCTTGTCCCGTGTTGTTCTCCACAGTGTTTCCACACCTCCGTCGTTATTATAGACTTAGTTATTATAAGTGAATGTAGTTAGAATGTAAGTAATGTGTACACAATTAGTGAAGTTTTTTTACTTGTTGTTGAGGTGTTGATTTTAAGTCCGGTGCTATTAATTAAAAAACATTTGTTCTCTGCCTTTTCTTCATAATTGATAAATTAATCCCTGATAAAATCTTGTATTGCTTCAAAATAGATTGAAATCATCTGAATATTATTCATTTGACCTGTAGTAACTTGTGTTAGAATTTGAGTTCATGCATGGGTTTCAGCCTGAGACGTCTTGATTATCCATGTCCGCAGGGATCCACTTATATTACATCTGTTTACATCATTTTTCACAAATCTAAGCCTGTATTTTGTGTTTTGAGCTTCAGTCTCTGCTCTCTGTCATATGTCTTTGACTCTGAGTTTTGGCAGCTGTTTGCATCTTCTTTATGTTTGGTCTTAATGTACAACAAGAGTAAATGTATGTCTTATATCTTATATCAAATGAAGTATATAATTACTGGTTAACTGGTATTTTTTTTGGTCCCTTGTCTTAGAATATCAATCACTCGCGTCACGGCGGACATCTCTCTCGCCAAGCGCTCAGTCCTGAACAATCCCAGCAAGCACGCCATCATTGAACGCTCCAACACACGCTCAAACTTGGGTAAGCTTGAGCTAGATATCACCGCAGTGCCTGGGAACATCTGGTGTTTTGATTCATAATGTTTTCAAGGAGACCAGCTCATGTGGAAAAGGAAGGAAGCGATTAAAGAAACTCTTGACAATGGTAATGATAACTCCCGACGGCCCGGAGTGGCCTTGGCCAGTTTCTTTTGTTAGGAATGAAAGATAGAGCATAAACGCACGATAACAAGTTCAAGAACTGCTCTGATTTGACTGGGGTTGATTGGGGTTTAGATGTGATTAGAATGAAACAGATTCCTGAGTCAAACAGAGGTGACAAGGCTAATCTTTGCTATGTCTCACCATAAGCATCAGTCAGCGGCTGAGGTCCCAGGAAGAAGCATAGGCTGTACACAAAAAGTAATTTATATGTCAGTTTTTTATGATTACGCAGAGGCACCATACTATAACTCGGTGATATGACCTCAGTCTTTTTCAATGATGTGCTGTCCCAGAAGGACTCAGAAGGAACCCTAAGACCACCACCTTGAGGTCTGAGAGCTAGGGACTAAAACTTTCACTTCATATTGGAAGCTTTTCATTTGAAGTGAGTGCCACTTGATTTTGGAAAAGAATATCCTTCTTAACAAGCTATTTTGTGCTCTGTGGAGACTTAAATCTACACGTTCACCCCCAAAACATCTGCCAAAAACAGCAATTTGTTTCTTATGCAAATTAACATTTTCAATCAGAACTGACATTGGCTTGATGCTGCTGCTTATGCTTCCCTTGCCTCATGATACAATAAACAATTTCAGGAAAGATTCAGAATTGGAAACAAGTGACATTATCTCACCCCTCAGGCATATTTCAGAAGGAAAATTAGACTTTGTGACTCACTTGTCGTCTAGATGAGCTTTTAGGTTGGAATGTTTTCGTGTTATCAGTTTACTTCAGACTTCGTCGTGACGGGAAGTCATGAAGCCTGGCCGTGATTCTCTCAGACTGGGATTTGTGCCCTGCTGTGATATTTGTAGGATTGTTTTTGCAGTCACGTCGTCATCTGTTGGAGTGGGGATTGTGTGATGTAACAGTCAGTATTTGTTAGAGGTAACAGAACATGGCTCACTGTTTCGTCTCAGAGCTGTTAGTATCCGAGCCTTGTCCCTAAAGTAATGGAGTCTTTTGAATATTTAAGTCAGACAGAAAGGAGCAACGCCCAAAACACTGATGCAGTTCGGTCAAATTATTCAGACCACATCCAGGAGGTAAATAAAGATTTATTTATATGGTACTTTTCAAGAAGTTGTTCACAATCAAATATTAAATATCCAATAAACAGGACAGTAATAAATAAAACATACCAGCTGAAGCAGCAAAATATAATTTGAAGAAAGAAATCTGACTTTGTCGTTAACTGAAAAACAGAGTATCCACACGTTTGACCGTAGTTCCTGAACCATTTAAATTCATTTCATTTTCTTTATTTATAAGAACAACATACAACATTTCTCATCTAGTTCTCGGCTGCAGTCCTTTCAAGAACTGATGAAGTAACGAGTTAAGAAATGCCAACATAGGACAACACACAACGTTTTTAAACAATAACATGGTTTGATCATACTGTCATGATACATTTCCACTGAAAGGCAATAGATGATAATGTTGAACTATTCCCCAGACTTTTAGTCAGTAGGAGTGGACAATAAAGTTAGGCTAGAAAACCCTCTGCATTAACCCCCACTCTCCTTGTCTCTTCAGCTGAAGTCCAGAGTGAGATTGAGCGGATTTTCGAACTGGCCCGGACGTTACAGCTGGTGGTTCTAGACGCCGATACCATCAACCACCCGTCACAGCTGGGGAAGACTTCCCTCGCCCCCATCATTGTCTACGTCAAGATCACCTCCCCCAAGGTGAGTGAAACATTGCATCTGATGCAGTGATAAACAAATGGAAATGTGAGGACAAATAAAAACAACTGCGGTGACGTTCCCTCTTCTCTCACAGACGTATAAGTCAACTCCATTGTTTTATGAGTCTGGCTTGTAGATGTGTCTTGTCACTGCTCACATTGTTTTCCTGTAACTGAGCTGCTCCCTGGCTGTGATTTTAAATACAGCATGTCAGACATGACTGCTCGTTTGAAAAGTGAGCAAATGCATGAGGGAAATGATTCATCACTGTGACCTTCAACATGTGTTAAAAAAAAAAAAGAAAAAAAAAAAAGGCTCATGATTCACTGATCAAAAAAAAAAAAAAAAAAAACGCACAGCCATTTTGGTAACAGAGAAAATGAGAAAAAGCCTAGCTGCAGAGAAGTCAGATACAAGTTTTAAATCAAAGTGGCAGCAGTGTGAATCACACTGAAAGTGGGATATAATTAACTGTTCTTTACCTGTCCTCTCAATTACACCCAGTTAACTAACAGACCATTTCAGTGAAAGTACCAATACAACAATGTAAAAGTAATCTGTAAGTCCGGCATCTAAACACCTACTAGAGTAAAAAGTGTGTCAGCTACATGTACTTAAAGTATCAAAAGTAAAAGAATACTGACCCCAGTGACAGATATATTATCATGCATTACAGTATTAGATTGTTAATACTGATAACCAATTTTTAAAGGAGCAACGTGAATGAGGTTGCAAAGAAGTTAAATTCTGTTTCTGTTTTTGGGGCTTAAATGTTATTTAAATGAAACTATCAGAGAAGTTTCCAGAGGAAATATTCCTTAAGTACTGGGTTAATCTAGAGTAACGCCTTGTATTTCATAAACTCATCATATGTTGTTTTTTAAACTTAAAATCCCTATCTGAAAATTAACATGTGACTATAACTGTCAAATACATGTAGTGAAGCAAAAGTGCAATACTTCCCTCTGAAATGTTGTGGAGTACAACTATGAAGTAGCATAAAATGGAGGTACATAAGTAAAGTACGAGAACCTCATAATTCTACTTCAGTATCCTACTTGAGTAAATGTACTTATGTACTTTCCACCGCTGTGTAAATAAGGGCTTTGATTGTCGACCTTCAAAAGGAAGCCATCTTCTTTCTTTCTGGATTTTCTTTCATCTAGTGTGAAATCAATCGCCACAGACTTGATTATTGCCCACACAAAGCCTTAATTTAGTTTTGTCCAATAAACATCCATGACCTTGTTGCCTTCTTTTCTTATTTGCCTTCAGGTGCTGCAGCGGCTCATCAAGTCCAGAGGCAAGTCTCAGGCGAAACACCTCAATGTCCAGATGGTGGCAGCTGACAAACTGGCTCAGTGCCCTCCTGTAAGTCTCCACAGTGAGCCCAAAGCATCACTGATTTGAGTCCAGCATTTAAAATAACCTGGAGTTTTGTCCTTTAGAAATGGTTTTGGCTCTCGGTTTTAGTTTCGTGTTTTGTGCATATTTGAAGTCAGATTTTTTTTTTGGAAGCTTCATAATTCCTGCCTGTTCTATTTCTGTTCTTCTGTAATCTGCTTAGTTATTATTTTAGAAAGTGAAGCAGGCACCCCAGGCTTGTGAAAGAGCAGGCTTAATTTAATTCAAATAGCAGTCCTTATCTTTAGGGATTTCTCAGAATTAATGCCTAATGCTATTTAGTGTTTGATTCAGTGGGTTGTTTCTAACATAGTTTTGACATTTTGTATATGGATATAAATCAGAGCGATTTCTTCACAGATAATTTTAATTTTAGATGTCTGCGAGTTTCTCAAAACAGTACGAATCTTTGCAGAGTCTTTTATTCTGAAATGACACCGCAGCACCATCTTGTCTTATTGACCTCATCACGTCTCCTTTCCACTTTATTTACCTCTGACTGCACCCTTTCCTTTTCTCAGGAGATGTTTGACATCATCCTCGATGAGAACCAGCTGGAGGATGCATGTGAGCATATGGCTGATTACCTGGAGGCCTACTGGAAAAGCACTCACCCCACCAGCTGCAACCCCCCCAACCCACTGCTAACGAAGCTGCCCACAGCCACCCTGCCCTCCAGCCCAGCCCTGGTCTCTGGTGTGCAGGTATAAGCACTGAGCAGATAGAGGGCCAGTGGAGGCCACAGAGAGGGTGTGGTCACCTGTAGAAAGGTTGTGTAGATGGACAGCACAGGAAGTGACAGATTTAGGGTCTGTCCCAACACCCACGCTTGCGTGACATATTTCCAGTAGTCTTCATTAAGGTAGCAAACATGTGGCGGTTTATCAGAGCTCACCGGGATACACTTGATTAATGAGAACATCCTGCGGCTTGTGCAAATACATGACTCACTCCGGCTTATTTAAGTTCCCCATAATGAAAAATAAGTAGGATCAAGCATACAGACACTCAGAGGCTGAGAAGAGAAACATCATTATACAGCAATTAAAGTGAGTTACATAAAAACACACAGGTACACACATACTGAGACGAACACAGTGCTCCAGGATATGAGTGTGGGTATTAGGGCAGACCCTTAGAGAAGATACAGAGGCAGACAGGAAGTGGGATGGCAACTTGTTTACCTGAAACCCTTCATTTCAAGTTCAATATACTATTTATTCAAATTTACTATTGACTGTGTATTTTTTTAAATGTGTCATGCAGGCTGCACAGTCATTCATGTGGTGCGATCTAATATTGATACCTAACCGTAACAAACACATAACTACTGTTTTTTCAACCAAAGTCACATACGTGAGAGTGCAAGTGCTGTATAACCCATTACCTCTACCCTCTCTCCATCCACTGCCATCAGAATGGGAAATGTAAGACTGAAAATGAGGAAATCCCTGATATTGATGAGGAGCAGGAGTGAGCTTGACATGTGATTGCTAGTGTGGTGAGACCTTTGGTTTAAAACTTGCCTCCACCAGGACCACAGCCAACCTTCAGTGGATGGTTGACAAGTGTTATGTCTGTGTACAAGTGTGACATTTCATGTTTTCAAGTTTTGTGTGAGTGCAAGTGCATATGTATAATGTGCATCAAAAAACCCATATGCACCTGAATCTGCGAGGGTGAAGTGGATATTAGTCTGCATGAGTTTTGTTTGTGTGAGCTTGCAGTGCATTTTCTTGGTTTGTGTCACCCGACTGACTGATGTTTTTTTACTAATCTCAGGGCAGCAGTGCAGAGCAGAAGGGAGATAAAGTGTTAGTGGAGAGACAGGGCTCCAGAGATGATCACCAGCACCATCATCACCATCACCACCACCACCACCAGAGCCAGGACCAGGCTGTTGCTGATGCAGAGGCCGAGGAGGAGGGCAATGAGGAGGAGAAGCCCCTGAGGACAGAGTCCTCCAGGAGAGCCCAGCATATCCACCACCGTTCGTCTTCCACCAGGACTGAGCACCACAACCACCACCACCACCACCACCACCACAGCAGTCGAGCCAGGGGCCTCTCGCGGCAGGAGACTTTGGACTCTGAGACCCCCGAGAGCCGAGAAAGCAGAGAGAGCCGAGAGAGTAAGGACTCGGCTTATATTGAGCCGCGCACTCAGCTCCTCCACCAGGAAGAGGAGGAGGAGGAGGAGGAGGAGGAGGAAGAGGAGGAGGAGGAGGAGGACGAGGAGGATCTAGGGGAGGGGCACCCCCAGCAGCAACAGCGTTACGAGCCGCTGCCCCACCGGGACCACAACCACCATCACCACCACCACCATCACCGTGGTGGGGCCGACGAGGCCGGCCACAGCACGGGACACCACCGTTCCAAAGAGCGCGAACAGGACCATAACGAACGCAACAAGCAGCGCTCTCACCACCACCACCGGCCGGCACGTGACCACCACCATCACTACTACGACCGGGACAGAGACAGGGACCGAGAGGGGGAGGTGGCTCCCAAAAAGAGGGGTGATGCAGGGGAATGGGTCAGAGATTCCTACATCCACCAGTGACAGACCAAATCCCTCCTGAAGCTCATTTGGACTCTCCTCTTAAAGACCATTCTGTTCTCCCATTGTGCTGCTATACCCTGAAACCACAGCATCCTATTTATGTACACTTCCTTTGTAAATGCTGTTGCATCTTTTTCAATGGCAGGATTTTGATTACATAGATACAAATATAAATATATAAATATATGTATGTGTGTATCTATGCATAGACGTTGTTTATGTGTGGATATGCATGAATATTCTCAAATATGCATATTTTAAACCTGTGTTTGATAAAGCATGACACAAAAGCAGAATTTTTTTTTCTGTACTGAGCTGTGCTTTCTGTGATTAGCATTTTTTATTTTATTTTTGTTATTGTTTTTTGTTTTTTTTGCTTGCAACCACTTGAATAATATGTTCCTTCAGACTACTGCTAGAGTTGACTGCAAGAGTTGACTAACCAAGTTAGTTTGATGCTGTATTTGCGGAGGTCTTTTCTTAAAAAAAAAAAATAGTTAAGCAATTTGGGAAATACACTAAATAAACACATAAATAAAACCAATGCAGTTTAATACAACAGTCCTTCAGTAAATCCGACCCTCATGAAACTTATAATGTTCAGTTTGTGTTTAAACTGTTATAGAGAGGTGTTGATTCAACTCCTGTTGAATTTGTGGTGCTGTTGGGTTGTATTGTGTTACACTGACAGGTGTTTCTATTATTTTGTCCGCTCCTGATAAATAACAGAAACATCTCTGTATATGCTCTGTATATACTGTACACTTGAAACAAACACCTTTCTTAAACTATTTCAACTGAACATTATAACCTTCACAAAAGGAGGATTTACTGCAGAATCTTTATACTAAATTGCATTGGTTTTAGCTGGGTGTGCCTAATAAACTGGCAACTGAGTTTAAATGAGAAGATCAATGCCACTCATATTTGTATAGTACAAATGAAGCTAACCCTAGCAGCCAGTTAGCTTAGCTTAGCTTAGCTTAGACTGGAAACAGAGGAAGCAGTTAGTCTGACTCTGTCTGATGGTTAAATAAACTTGCCAGCACCTCTAAAGCTCTAATTGACACTTAATATTATATTTGTCTGTACAAAAAAATCTAAAAACATACAGTTGTGGTTTTATGGCGTGGACTAACTTTAGCTGACTCAAGCTAACCGGCTGCTGGCTGTAGCTTAATATTTAACAGACAGATCCTAGAGTGGTATTGATCTTCAGCAGCAAAGCGTGTAAATGTGTTTCCCAAAGTGTCATACTACTCCATTAATTTTATGTTCATCATTTATTGCTTAGTTCCCTTTTTTTAAATTCTGCGTCCCTGGTTTTAGACATTTGGTTCTGACATATTTATGCCTCCTTCGAGGTGCACCTTAGTCATGCCTTACAAGACAAACGACTTCTACAGTAACTCCCTCTCTGACATGCAGTACTGTTCTCTTTGTATGGGTCCAGAAACATTTTATAACATTGATACACCCTTTATTCTGCACTTTTACTGATTCACATTGGTTTCATGTAAAAGCAATTTGATATGACATTGCAACTTACTGTAGGTTTACTACCGAAACTCCACAAAGGTTCATCTTTTATTAAGTCTGATCCCTTTTCTAATGAATGTTGTTTAACTCCCACTTTAATTCCCATAGTATACAGAATGTTCATTTTCAGATATTTCTTCAGTATGTTCCTCACTAAAAAAATTAAAAGATAAATTTGCAAAACAAATTCAAACTATTTCAAATGTTAACCAGAGGAAGTTGGGTAAGTTTTCTGTATTTTTGCCATTTTCTCACTCCCCTGCCTAATACAAAGGATTGAGCTAAAATTGAGTCCAAGCCCGTTTACAAAAACACCAACCCCATCCCCTCACTTTCTTTGGTTTTGCCTGACAATTGTAATTATTAAAACTCCATTTCTATGCTACATTTGTAGCACTACAGATTTTTTAACAGTGTACATGTGTATGTACATAATGCATAAATATAAAGAATAAAGTTGGCAACAAAGAACTGCCGTGAGGGGAGAGGAATTTGATGTGTGCTTTGTCAGAAGACCCAGATAGAAGAGGGAAACTGTGTCTATAAATAGTCTTCTGAAACTCTACTGAAAAATTGAGGTAGACTCACCGGCCTGCCTCTGAAATCGTCATGACAACATCGACAGGAATGACAGTACTGAGGGGATGCATCTAAAATGGGAAGCTGCTTTGCCACACACAGATGCCTCCAAAATAGACAATCACTCCCAGTCTGCAGCTGCTTTAATCTTAGAATTGTAATGTTGTTAAACAGAAAAAAAAAATCCTCTAAACCTCCACTGCTGCAGTGAATAGAGCAGCCATTTTAATCCTCAGTCGACCACTCCATACAGTAAACATACAATAAAACATGCAGCGAGTGAGGTGCAGTCTGCCGGCACTTCAGATAGATGTGTGGATGGACTGCTAAGAGTCTAATATTAATCCCAGGAAGAGGGATTGTGCCGAGGTCACTGTGAAAGTCCTAAAAATGCTGCATGACAGACAGGTGAACGGGCCAGATGTTTGTGCACTGTAGGCGCCAATTCATAAATTACACTGTGTGCAAATTTAATGGACACATAATTCAATTTGCACTGAATAAATTAGTGGTAACATGTTAAGTCCCTCCATTTAACATCAATATATAAATATTATATATTTAAAAATATATAAATATATGAACATGTAATAAAGGATTTATAACACATTAATGTAGTTGTCCTGTAAATAGTTAAGCGTTTATCAGTATATAAATATATGATAAAACACAGTGATAATAATATAAAATATGACTTCATAGGGGACGTTGCCATTCCTTAACAAATATTTGATGTTAATAAACATTTAAAATGTCCTTATAACTGCTTATAACTACATTATAGTCCGTGATAGAAAGGAACTAAGTACAGTACTTTTGAAGGACTTGTACTTTATACTTTTAGTCCACTACAATTCAAAGAGAATTCACTCCACTACATTAATTTGACAGCTGTAGCTTTTCAAAATAGGATTTTACACTACTAAAAATATTTAATATTAATATATACAATATGGGCTAGTACAACACTAATAATCTACCAAGTAGTATATAAAGTATTTTAAATTGGCTCCATATTGACAAACTACAACATTAAAATGTTCTTACATGTATTTGTTGATGAAGAGAAAATTAAATATACTATAATAATATGACCTTTTAAAAGAAGCCATTCAGCATAATGAGTGTTTTTACTTTTGATTCTTTAAATACATTTTGTGATGATGCTTCTCTGCTTTCACATAAGTAGGATTTTGAACGCAGGACTTTTATTTGTAATGGAGTACTTTTATACTTTTATTTAAGTAAAGCATCTGAAGACTTCCTCCACCACTGATGATAGTGTGTTATAAACCTTTTATTAAATGTTTATATGGTGCTTATAATTGCCATACAGGCGGACTTGAAGTGTTATCACATTAGTGAGTATTGTAATGTGCAACTGTTCAACATGAGACAGACATGAAGAGACAAAAAACGTATTTGAAGTGTGTTTTTATAGTGAAAAAATGAAAGTGATATCCCTCTGGTGACTGCAGTGATTCAGACAGAAGTTGACATCGGCATCAGTTCTCTCTTACAAACAGCACAGGCACTAATTAGACGTCCCACTTGTCTCCGCCGCTGCTAAAAGACACTAAATTGTTAATACCACTCATGACCTCTTTCTGCACGCTACTTCCTGATCCGCGCTCTCACATCCAGCGAATCCACTGTCACCATGGCAGCTGTGTCGTCACTGTTGTCATGGTAACGCTAGCACTGCTGCATTTGCCAATACTCATTCAGTCTCCATCCCCACGTGCCCTCACCCTCCCTCTCCTTCTCCAGCCCCCCCACCCCCACCCCTCCTCTCTGTCTCCTGCCCTCGCTGTTTATAAAGCTTATCCCTATATGGCCCGCAGTTTTAGAGAGCAGCTGTTGGGAGGCAGATGCTGTAAACCGCGCAGTGAGCGTCTTTGTCAACACTGGCCCGTCAAAGCACACAGAGTGTCGTAATATAAACACTATTGTTCCCGTCTGCAGCCTCGTGTGAGGGCTGTAAGAGAAAACATGCCCTCCGGTCAGTTTTTCAGGAACTTGGCAATAAAAAAGCCGATGGTGTCCCTGTCGGCTCTGCAGGGGAGGGGAGCTGTCGTTTCTGTCTGGTCCCAGATCAGCTCAGGACTGAACCTCTGGAGGAGGCGCAGCTGCTCAGGTGACAGGCCGGCTCCCAGCATGCCTTCTGCGCCAATGTGAGGCTCCTGACAAAGACAAGAGCAAGAGCATGCATTGTTTGAGGTTTTCTTTACATCCCTTGGTATATTTGTACGTTAGCGAACGGCGCCACAATACTTACCTGTGGTTGAAGCGTGAGGCAGGGAAACGTATCGAGGGCCCAGGCTACCTGCTCCTCGTTCTCCGCTAGAGTCACTGTGCAAGTGCTGTACACCAAGACCCCGCCTTTCTTTAACAACCGCACCGCCTGCAACCACACACAAAATCTATTGATTTATGTATTTGTTTCATAACACATAAAGACCTTTAATTATTGCTGCTATAATGGATGTTTTTTAATCATAACACAGTGCCACAATGTGAAAGGAGTTGCTCGTAGAGATGAAACTACAGGGAAATATCACGTGAATCTGCAGCTCCTTTACAGTGAGTTTCTGCTCATTGTTTTGGCGCTCTAAAAACCATCCCATAGAAAAGCTAATGGAAGCAGCTGTGCGAGGCGTGCTGCTTAATCATACGTTACATTTGCCAAACCAACCAGTTAGTTCTCATCTTCTCTCGAAAAACAGAAAATACTGTTGAAAAACATTTCTCATAAAGCATAAATCCCACCCGGCGCTCATTTGTCGTCAATTGTGCCCGTTGGGGGGAAAAACACCCACTACAACTACAGCTCTCACTAAATGTAAAATACCAGCTGGATACTTCTCTGTCCTCCAGCTTCATGGGGCAGTATTCAGCACAGACAAAGGTAGCGTCAAGCTGGTGAGCATTACAGACACTTTAGCCCCTGCAGAGCCAGATAATCCCTCAGGAGACGGTAGAGACCAAAAACAGAGCTAATATTATAAACTAAAATGTTGGATTACCCTACGTGAATACTAATGTCGCTCTTTAACTGCTGGATGTGTAATTAAACAACTGCTAAGCAGCAAGTTCACTATATAAGAGGACATGTCAATGTTGTGTTCACACGCTGTTTCTGCTGCCCTCAAGTGGCCATAAACAAAAATCAGTTATTGCAGGTTTACTGTAACTTGTCCCATATGTCCCATATAAGTCTGTCAGTGTGTGTTGTGTGCAAGCACTGACACAAATCTTTCCAAACAGGAGCCTCTCGCTTCAGCCTGCATGCTGAATAGCCTTGAGGTAATGCTGGTGGAGGCTGATGGAGCACTGTGTTTCACTGGGATAAATGATGTCCTCGGCACTGGACTCTAATCTCCCTGTAGTAATCCATCCACTGGCCATACTTCAAAGCAAAAAACAAATCCACCCTAAAACACAATCCTCATGCTTTTCTTTTAGTCTACTTTTTTGTACATTTGTAATAAAAAGCAACTAGGAGCATGAGGATGTCCTCTAAAAACACTCTTTGGACAATGCAAAAGGTGTTTTATCCAAAAATGACTGACACACATCTTTCTTTCAGAGCTCAGAGTTGTTCCTGACACTCGTTTTTTAACACCCAATCATACAAAACACCTTGTGTGTTAATCAAAAATTATCAGGATTAAAGTGATGTTTCTTTTAGTCAAGAATAACTTCTGTAAATATCATTTTATGGTGGATTTTCCTTTTAAGCTGTGACTTGTAGCTGCACACAGCAGTTCTTTAACTGTCAAATGCTGCCACCTACAGACTGGAGTGAGTCTTTATCAACGTCATGTGACAAACACTCTCAAACTGGTGGTTGCAAATGTCACAATCTGTATCTGTGTGTGGGGAAAACCTACAGCATGAAATAACTTGCGCTGCAGAGGCTGGTAGGAGCAAATCTCCTTGAGGCTCCAGGTGCTGGCCATGTTGGGTCTCTGTCCGAGTCCGCTACAGGGAGCATCCAACAAAACCCTGTCGAAACTCTCAGGAGGGAAGGGAGGCCCTGGAATATGAACAGAGGCAGAGGTGTTATCTTTCTGCTGAGTCCTGGGATTAATCACACATAAATATTCATAGGCGCCCCTCTACCTTCAGTCACATGTGCCGGGTCGCTGCTCACAGCCTGAGTGCTGTTGAAGCAATACGCTCGGATGCTACGCAAATGCAACATTTGTGCATTTTGACGAATTCGATCGATCTTGTTTCGGATCCTGTCCAAGGCCACGACTTCACCCTGTGTGAGACAGAAATTCATTAAATTACACTCACGTCTGTGGTTAGAGAAGCCATGGATGGACTTCATCCTCATTAATATCTACACTGAGTGACCAAAAAAATAGAAGCATCTGTAGGCTGTAATAAAATCTGTAATAAAGATCTAGTTGTGAGATTCTATTACCATGTACAACATTTTTTATTTTCCTGGTGACGTTTTACACAGCTTCTTTCACACACGTATAAATTAAGTGGAGTTTCCCTTAAAGGCGAGGAACAGCAATGCTCTAGATTATAATGTATGTTTATTTCTGTCGACAAGATTCTCAGCATCTAGACTGAAAAATAATTTTAGAGGACAACCTTGAAACCCTGAATCTTAACCGCAATCACTGCAGCAGCTAACACCTGCAGCCGGCTCATTGTGACAAGATTCATCAGTGGTACGTAGTGGTACCTGATCCCCCATGACCGCTGCGATGTGGCAGGTCTTCCCTCCAGGGGCGGCACACATATCCAGGATACGCTCGCCAGGACGAGGCCCGAGCACATGTCCCGCGACCACAGAGGGGAGGTTCTGCAGACACGAGTTCATCAGTTCACTTTGGGGGAGTGATGCGTGTAGATTACTTGAACATGTTTTTCCCTGATTGGTCCTAAAGCTGCGGCACAATTTAATAAAAGTCCAACATTAGCATTTGCCAGCTAACCTATTCATCATTCTGACACTAATAGGCAGGGAAATGCATCTTATTGCTCTTAATATGGATTGTAATAGAAGAGATACCTGTAGGAACACCAGGTTGGGAAGAACGCCATCAAAGGACGGACTCTGGTAAAGTGGCTCTATCATCCGAACGCCGATCCCTCTAAGATAACAGAAGAGAGCGACTGAATTATTCTGCTTTTTAAACTTGAAACCACAACCATCACCCTGACGCACATTTGTCTTGTTTTTAAACATGGAGTCACTATAATAAACTTTTCAAATTTTAAACTTCTGTACCGTGTGTGTGTGTACGCTGACTTTTTCTTTTCAGAAGGACTGTGATGGCACATAGTCCGATCCAAGAAGAAATTCTTGATTTGTTTTTTTTTTTTTATATCATGTTCTTACTCACTCACACTTTTCTTTACACATTACACTGGAGCTCATAAATAATCATAACTTACTCATAAATTTATACTGAAAATCATAAATTTATAAAAAAAATAAAAATAAAGGTCTGTTTACTTGGCAGGCTCATCTGTGCAGAAGATGCTGGAGCGGCCCATTTCAGCGACTCCATTTCCCACAAACACTCTCTTCCCCTGGAAGCTCGTGGCTCCTCGGGTGCACTTTCCCTCCAAGTCAGAGAAGACGGAGACTACATCTCCAGCCTTCATGTCTGACCAGCAAAAACATCACGGGCAGATTTCATGTTAGACAACCACACTGTGAGGTGCAATCAACAAAAGTAAAAGTGCTGTGTTGTTGACTGATAAACTCTGAACTCAAGATAATGACACAACTTTTCATGACCTACTTTATGTCTTTCACTCTTACACTTTGGGCTGGCGACGATTCCCGGGGCGAAGACATGAGCACCTCTCAGTACAGCGTTGCCACACTGAGCACCGACCACCACCTCCGAGCTGAGCTGCTTCACAGGTCTGACAATACGAGAGAAAGGGGAAATATATATATATATATATTTTGAATCTTATCCATCCCCATCCCAGTACCATCAGGGAGGCAAATTAATTCTCAGTTTACTTTCAGTACCTAACATTTTTGCACAGTGTGTTCAAAAATAAATATAAAATTAAAAAAACTTGAACTTGAAGGCACGCCTAAAAAAGGTGAACAAAGTAGTTCAAAATCATTTCTGCGCTTTAAATATCTCAGCATTTTTTCTGCAGCCGCTCCATGAAATTCCACGTGGGTTTGGCCGTAGGAAACATCAGCCCAGCGGTTGGACACACACTGTAATTTAAGGCTAAGTGTGTACTCCAGATTCAGCAGATTCAGATTTGTGTGACGTTGCTCCGGCATTCCTCACATACCTCGGGCCGTCGACAGGAAGGAGAAGCACATCTGGGATTCGCGGGTGAGGAAGAATCTGAAGGGAGACCTCCTCTGCTGATGAGCCGCACATCTGCTGCTTCAACAACGACAACAACGTACTGAATGATTATGACTCCGCCGACCACAGGTGGCAATGTGGGGCACCAACACGCAGCGACAATGTATCTAAATATATGAATTTCCTTGCTCCCACCTTTTTCAGCTCTTCTCCTAACTTGAGTCTGATCTCCTCCAGGGAGGCGAGATGAGTGCTGGCCCGAACACAAGTATATGAAGGTGGGTGTGAGAGACATGTGAGCAGCTTGTGGAAACGGCGTTCTGCCTCCTGATGACCCACTGCATCTAACACCTGAACGCAACAAAAACACCAGCAGCAAAGACATTTATAAGGTATTGTCCCTGTTTTAACGGCCTGAGGTGGAATTTACTTTCTAAAGTTACACATAAATATGAGTTTATGAAATGTGAAATTGTATTAACATTTTTGGTGGAAAGCCATGGTTTGTGCTCATGATATCAACATTTCTAAATTCTTAGAAGACATTTAATTATATGAGGTGTATTTTATTTACGATTCTCCAGAAGAGCAATGACTTCAAAGGGACACACAGAAATTCTTACCTCCTTGTTTAGGAAGACACCCTTAAGATGTTCAGTCACTTCAGGCTTCAGAGAAATTCTTGGAAAAATGGACATGTCCTCTGCTCTCAACAAAATGTTTCAATCTGTAAAAAGAAAAACCTCCAGTCAATAAGGGGAAAGCAAATAAATCTTGACTCCTAAACAACATACTTTGCCCACAGAAGTCATTTTTAACTCAAGCTGAAAAGTTTTTGAAGCCATGTAGTCATTATTATTGTAAATTAATAATTGTTTAGCATTATTTGTGTGTTTGATTTGTCGGCTTTTGTGTATTTTAAAGGCCCATCTAGGGACAGGAATTGCCATTTGTCTATTTGTAAAAAGTAACAGTGAATTAACATTTAACACACCTACTGTATGTTAGAAAACAACATAGTGCAACCTCCAGTTAATATCTATTTCAGCACTCCTTGCACTCTTCCATACCTGTGCTACTTGTGTCCTTGTTTACAGCTCTACAAACCTACACAAATAAACATTCATTAAATTAATAGTAATAGTGTAATAAAGTAAGTTAACAGCTGCTGTGAAAAACAACAAATGCAGTGGGAGCACAGAATAAAATAATATAAGGAAAGAAATTTAGATAAAGAGCTAACTTGTATTATGGTGACTATAGTTAATCCTCTTTATGTCTGCCTAGCACTAGCTCTATGTGAATTAAATATAATAAATGCGAGGTATTTATATACCAGGGTGTATTTGTTGTAATGACCTAAGAAAGTTCCTTTTCCCGACATTAAATAAAAGGCTTTCTTATAATAGACCGTATGATAATTTATGTCTAAACAGATCGGTTGTATCACTCCAACCATCGGTCCCATCCAACACATCTGCTTCTTACATTTATATTTAATAAATGCACCGTTTAAATTACCGCCCATTCTAAGTTTAATGACCGAATTGAGTCTGTTAAGATAGTATTGACTATCTTAATAGACTTCTGGTACTCACGTTTAGTTGCTCATGGCCAGTGCTGCTACTTCCGCGTACGTCACCACGTTTTGGTCACAAGGCATGAGTTGGATTACACGTGCATGTACGATATTTTGATTCGTTTTCTTTACTGGCTTTAGTGTCACATGAACATGTTCTACACAGAAATATATATATATACATATACATATATATATACAGTATATATATTTATATATATATATATATGTGTGTGTGTGTGTATATATATACATGTGTGTGTGTGTGTGTGTTTGTCTGTCTGTTGAACATATATAGGTGTATATATATAACCCTAACCCTATATATACAGTATACAGTATATTTCCATTGTTGCATAGACTTTCTAATTAGTCTCAAAGACTAAACCTGTCTGACTGTACATGTCCTGTGTAATTAGAAAGTAGCTAGCAACAGAATTCTGAACATGTAGGTGACAACTTGATGCAATGAAAAGTGTTGGTTCAGTTTGAGATTTAACTGAAAGGCTGTGACTGTTAAATCATTATGAACAGCATTTATTGTATTGCCATGAGTTTTGTCGAAATAAGGTTTAAAATGTAATTCAGAGTGACTCTATTATATCGGAAAAAATACTGGTAAAATAATTATTGAAAATATTAAATTAAAGTAGCCTAGTCCCACATTTTTTTTTTAAATGAATAAAACTAGAAAAAAATTAAATTCACTACATGTCTCTCTGTCCTGTCAGAAGTGTCCCAACAAACCCAGTATGAAGTGAGTACTACAACAACCACCCTGCCCCTCCACCCCCAGCATCGCCCTCTCCAGTTATCATCCAGGCAATGAGGAGCGCCCCAACCCGACCTGCACAGAGGAGGCTGTCACCATGTGCTTCTTCTGTGCTGGTGGGTTTTGAAGGTTCCTGACACACGCACACAGGAAGCTTTCACCACCTCTTTTCTCAGAAATCAAGACAGTCAAGAAAGAGATGCACAGTTCAGTCTGAATGAAAAAAAAGTGATTTCTACAAGATTAAAAGTATTTCACTTTGTTAACTTCCATACAGTATGTTACTGTAGATGATACTGTCGATGTATGTGTACTGTTTATGTCTTGAATACAAAAATACTCATTTGTGTATTGAAACATCAAGTATTACATATAAGACAGTCTTCTTTTAATTGTTTTTTTAGTTGTTCTTTTAATCTTTCATGTAGAATTCAGAAATTTAACACAGTTTGACATCTTACATATTTGTGCAATAAATACTGTAAACATTATAATTCAATTTGTTTTGATTTTCATTTTGACTTGAAGGCATTACTGTAATTTTGCATTGCTATTTTATTTACTCTTTTGCCTGCACTTTCTTTGTTTGACTTTGTTTGATGATGAATTCAATAAAATGAAATGATACTGTGTTCTGTGAGATCACCTAACCTTAGTGACTTTGGGTTAATATAAAGCTTTTTAAATACTGACTCACTATGCTCTTTCCCCCATGAGCCACCTGACAAACATATGATGACATGTTTGAAAATTATTATCAAGTGAAACACATAAGGTCTGTTCCAATACATACACTGTCTGAACAACATGAGAAAGCTCATGACATGATGGTTTCAGCATGAATACACTCAAATGATCCCATTGGTGTGATTCTTCTTCATGTTCACAGTAATCACATATATTCATCATAAAAAGTTTGATAGTTATTAGATTAGCTGATCAGTGTGTTGGTGAGTTTGAAAGACAATGAAATGACCGCACGAGTAAACTGGAAATGTTTCAGCTGTAGGCCGACCATAGGTTCTTTGTTTGTGAAATATAGAAATTTTTTTACTGTGCTTCATGAACATACAAATATTTTTTTGGATGTCCAGATGAGTTTCAGTTTAAATGATTATTATAACCTCCTTGAACTCATTCAGGATTTATATGAATAATATTCCATATAGCACATATCACAGGATATATGGTTAAATAATAGGCTATCTTATAATAGACCTTATTATTGTCAACATAAGGGAAATATTTCCGCTTACAGTTCCCTATTTTTCTGTTGCATGCTACAATGAATTAAAGCACATGTAACTTTGGATACAATACATGATGGGTAGTCCTAATCATGACTAAAAGTTACTTTGAGCTTCTTTATGCACAGTTTGTAAGTTTTAATTTTTTTTATAAAACCCCTTTTTTCTTTTTTTGACTCATAAGTTAAAATTTAAGACCATTCTTAAGGTAGTTTCTCTGAAGTTTTGTACCAGGCTCAATAGGCTACAGTATGTATCCTAAGACTAACAGTAGCTCCCGACTGGCTGAGTCAGGGAAAATACAACATTAAAGAGTTTTTAAAAATTTTAACGGTGCAAGAATTAATATGAATCCAGTGAGCTCGCCAATAAATGTGATAACACCGGAGATGGTGGTTTGCACAACTCTGCACTATTTCAGGGGTAAAAAAAAGCCAACGAAAAGGCCACGACGTCATTACGTAACCGGAAAAGGAGTGAATAGTCTGGGGTGCGTTTTTCACCGTACCACCGCCAGCAGCTAACGGGCAGCAGAAGCCGTGCGAGCGGAGTCAACGCGGAGCTGCTCTGAATACCCCGTGTTTGTACAATTTGAGGAGAATTTGGCGACACGTTAAACCTTAGATAGTAATTCAACACCTCTATGCGACCGCACACCGTTTTATCCTCGCTTTAATTAGGATTTCGATGCTGCCGGGGCGCATGGAGCCCGTGTTGAAAAGGTCGGTGAGGTGTTTTGCGGACAAGAGATCATCCAGCTAATGTTAGTTAGCCTCAGTCAGCCACGGATCGTACGGTGTGGACTTGAGAGTGGAGAGACTCGGTGCTGCTGCCCACTCTGCTAACGGACGGACGGACGGACGGACAGACACTGAACACCCTAAACAATGGGCCTCATATTCGCGAAACTGTGGAGCTTCTTCTGTAACCAAGGTGGGTGTCGGTGAAATTGTCACGGCTCACTAACCTCCCGCTAGCTGCTCAACCGGGGATAATGTGAACTGTTTAACCCGTTAGGTTAAAGTGAGCCACAAAAGCCATAATAACAGATTGAGAAGAATTATGTGACTTCAGGACTCTGGCTGCACTGCCTTTTCTTTGTTTAACTTGAAAGTCAAAACAACCAATTAAACTGCAGCTTCTCAATACAACCAACCACTCCAATAGTTAATCTCTTTATCAGTTTCACAACTAACATGATTATCTTAAGTCACCGTAAGCATGCAGGAGCGTATTCATCGACTTGTCAATCAGCTTTAACTTACTTTACAGGACATATCACATTACATAACTTTCCCCGACTTTCTGGAAAACTTGTTCAATGTAAATAGTCTAATTTATCTGTTGGCAAATTGCTTCACTTTCAAATAACAACGGTTCAATTGTTGCTCAGTATAGCAATCATTAAGCCAAATGATTTTTTATACAAGCACCCACTGAGCTGACTTGGAGTCAAAAAGTAAAGAATACAGGAATCAAAAGTGCCAGGATTAGTGGGGCTGAGTAGGAATGATTGTTTGTACACATTTTGCTTAGTGTTAGGTATAATGGTTGAAATCTGTGTCTGTGTTTCGGTCTATGATTGAATTGACTATTTTATGCCTTACTATTCGATGACTTTTTATGCCTAACTATGCTATGATGTTTTTATGACTTACCATACTATGACTTTTTATGCCTAACTATACTATGATGTTTTTATGACTTACTATACCATGACTTTTTATGCCTCATTATAGTATGACGTTTTTATGCCTAACTATACTATGATGTTTTTATGCCTTAATATACTATGACTTTTTATGCCTAACTATACTATGATGTTTTTATGAATTACTATACTATTACTTTTTATGCCTTACCATACTATGACATTTTTAATGACTTACTATACTATGACTTTTTATGCCTAACTATACTATGACATTTTTAATGACTTACTATACTATGATGTTTTTATGACTTACTATACTGTGACTTTTTATGCCTTGCTATACTATGATGTTTTTCACTTACTGCACTGTGACTTCTTAATGCCTTACTAAACTATGACTTTTTAGCATCATAATGATGCCAATGGCAACGTGTCAATTTAGTTGTGCTGTCAGGATCATCACAGGGTAGCTCCTCTTTAAGGAAGCAATAGACATTCGGCATCCTCCAAAAAGCCAGTGTGGTTCACAAAGACAGTCGAAACTGCAAACCCTCTGACCAGACTTCCTTCCTCCCCAACAGCCAGAGGCCTCAGATGGCCGGAAAAGTCAAAACACTGAAGTGGGATATTTTAACATGTATGTGTCACCTGTGATTCTGCGGTTAGTCGGTGGTGTTTGCCTGCTTGAGAGTCGTCAAAGCCCTGCCTGCTGGTTTTATGAATAGTTAGGATTTACTGCAGTTTCAGTGATGCTTGGAAAAATGTGGTCAGGAAGTTTTAGGAAGGAAGGAAGGAAGTTCAACCTTTATGATTTTGGGCAGCACTCAATGACATGAACGCATTGTATAGACTGAAAACAGATGTACTTTATGATATACTCTGTGCCACGTATTGTTTATACAGTGACTTACAGTGAAGAGATTCATTTACATAAGTTTTCTTGATAATGATGTCCTATTGAGGACTTTGGAGGACTTTTTTTCTATAGATCACTGAAATCAGTCAGTTAATTTACTCTCTATTTTGCAGAGCACAAGGTGATAATTGTTGGACTAGACAACGCAGGGAAAACCACTATACTCTACCAATTGTAAGTAGTTTTATTGTTAAATTCCCTCCTTGTTTGCTGTGTCTAAACTTGCAAAAACTCACTTTATAATTCTGTTTTACAAAGTCTGATGAACGAGGTGGTCCATACGTCTCCCACCATTGGAAGCAATGTGGAAGAAATAGTGGTGAAGAACACACATTTCCTGATGTGGGATATTGGAGGACAGGAGTCGCTCAGGTCCTCCTGGAACACCTACTATTCCAATACAGAGGTGAGAAATACAAGCTTTATTTTTCCTAGTAGTTGTGGGGATCTGAAATATTGTCCGTTCTCTTCCTGAGCGTGGCAGCTGGTGTGTTTGTTCTGAGCACAGACGGCAGAAGGGGCCGCCCAAGTCATAGGTCACCCTTTCACAAAGCCGCCTGTCTGAAAAGCAAAGCTGGGGTCAGCCTCTGCCATGTTTTTGGAGAAGGGAGCAGGAGGGAAAGAATAAGACAGTCACGGCAGAGGCAGATGTGTGGCGGATTTTATAGAAAGCTCTTTACAGAAGCATGTGAATTTAACTTTCCTGATACAACATCTGCCCCAAAGTTTTTTTATTCTAGTTTCAGTGGTAGCTATACTATGACGTTTTTATGACTTACTGTAGTATGACGTTTTTTATGCCTTACTATACTATGGCGTTTTTTATTCTTCACTATACTGTGAGGTTTTTAACGCCTTACTATACTATGACGTTTTTATGACATTTTTATGCCTTTCTATACTATGGCGTTTTTATTACGTTTTTTATGCCTTACTATACTATGACGTTTTTATGACGTTTTTATGCCTTACTATACTATGACGTTTTTATGCCTTACTATTCTACGTTTTTTATGACGTTTTTATGCCTTACTATACTATGACATTTTTATGCCTTACTATACTATGACATTTTCATGACGTTTTTATGCCTTACTATACTATGACGTTTTTATGATATTTTTATGCCTTTCTATACTATGGCGTTTTTATGCCTTATATACTATGACGTTTTTATGACATTTTTATGCCTTTCTATACTATGGCGTTTTTATGCCTTACTATACTATGACGTTTTTATGACATTTTCATGCCATACTATACTATGACGTTTTTATGACATTTTTATGCCTTACTATACTATGGCGTTTTTATGCCTTACTATACTGTGACATTTTTTATGCCTTACTATACTATGACATTTTTATGACATTTTTATGCCTTTCTATACTATGGCGTTTTTATGCCTTACTATACTATGACGTTTTTATGGCATTTTTATGCCTTTCCATACTATGACGTTTTTATGCCTTACTATACTATGACGTTTTTATGTCTTATTATACTATGACGTTTTTTATGAAATTTTTTGTTGCCTTACTATACTATGACGTTTTTATGAAATTTTTTTTATGCCTTACTATACTATGACGTTTTTATGACATTTTTATGCCCTACTATACTATGACGTCTTTATGATATTTTTACGCCTTTCTATACAATGACGTTTTTATGACTTACTATACTATGACCTTTTTTATGCCTTACTATACTATGACATTTTTATGCAATACTATACTATGACGTTTTTGTGACATTTTTATGCCTTTCTATACTATGACTTTTTTTATGCCTTACTATACTATCACATTTTTATGACATTTTTATGCCATACTATACTTTGACGTTTTTGTGACATTTTTATGCCTTTCTATACTATGGCGTTTTTATGCCTTACTATACTATGACGTTTTTATGCCTGATTATACTATGACGTTTTTTCTGAAATTTTTTCTTGCCTTACTATACTATGACCTTTTTTATGCCTTACTACACTATGACATTTTTATGACATTTTCATGCCTTTCTATACTATGGCGTTTTTATGCCTTACTATACTATGACGTTTTTATGACATTTTTATGCCATACTATACTATGATGTTTTTATGACTTTTTATGCCTTACTATACTATGACGTTTTTTTTAAAAACTTTTTGGCCATACTATACTATGACGTTTTTATTACGTTTTTTTTCTGCCTTACTATAGGCTACTATGATATTTTTTATGCCTTACTATACTATCACATTTTTATGACATTTTTATGCCATACTATACTATGATGTTTTTATGACTTTTTATGCCTTACTATACTATGACGTTTTTTTTAAAAACTTTTTGGCCATACTATACTATGACGTTTTTATTACGTTTTTTTTATGCCTTACTATAGGCTACTATGATATTTTTTATGCCTTACTATACTATGATGTTTTTTATGAAGTTTTTTGTGCCTTACTATACTATGACGTTTTTATGACATTTTCATGCCATACTATACTATGACGTTTTTGTGACATTTTTATGCCTTTCCATACTATGGCGTTTTTATGCCTTACTATACTATGACGTTTTTATGCCTTGCTATACTATGACGTTTTTATGAAATTTTTATGCCATACTATACTATGACGTTTTTATGACATTTTTATGCCTTTCCATACTATGGCGTTTTTATGCCTTACTATACTATGACGTTTTTTATGCCTTACTATACTATGACGTTTTTATGACATTTTTATGCCTTTCCATACTATGGCGTTTTTATGCCTTACTATACTATGACGTTTTTATGACATTTTTATGCCATACTATACTATGACGTTTTTTATGAAATTTTTTTTGCCATACTATACTATGACGTTTTTATGACATTTTTATGCCATACTATACTATGACGTTTTTTATGAAATTTTTTTTGCCATACTATACTATGACGTTTTTATGACATTTTTATGCCTTACTATACTATGACGTTTTTTATGAAATTTTTTTGCCATACTATACTATGACATTTTTATTACGTTTTTTTTATGCCTTACTATACTATGATATTTTTTATGCCTTACTATACTATGACGTTTTTTATGAAGTTTTTTATGCCTTACTATACTATGACGTTTTTTATGAAATTTTTTTTGCCATACTATACTATGACGTTTTTATGACATTTTTATGCCTTACTATACTATGACGTTTTTTATGAAATTTTTTTGCCATACTATACTATGACATTTTTATTACGTTTTTTTTATGCCTTACTATACTATGATATTTTTTATGCCTTACTATACTATGACGTTTTTTATGAAGTTTTTTATGCCTTACTATACTATGACGTTTTTTATGAAATTTTTTTTGCCATACTATACTATGACGTTTTTATGACATTTTTATGCCTTACTATACTATGACGTTTTTTATGAAATTTTTTTGCCATACTATACTATGACATTTTTATTACGTTTTTTTTATGCCTTACTATACTATGATATTTTTTATGCCTTACTATACTATGACGTTTTTTATGAAGTTTTTTATGCCTTACTATACTATGACGTTTTTTATGAAATTTTTTTTGCCATACTATACTATGACGTTTTTATGACATTTTTATGCCTTACTATACTATGACGTTTTTTATGAAATTTTTTTGCCATACTATACTATGACATTTTTATTACGTTTTTTTTATGCCTTACTATACTATGATATTTTTTATGCCTTACTATACTATGACGTTTTTTATGAAGTTTTTTATGCCTTACTATACTATGACGTTTTTTATGAAATTTTTTTTGCCATACTATACTATGACGTTTTTATGACATTTTTATGCCTTACTATACTATGACGTTTTTTATGAAATTTTTTTGCCATACTATACTATGACATTTTTATTACGTTTTTTTTATGCCTTACTATACTATGATATTTTTTATGCCTTACTATACTATGACGTTTTTTATGAAGTTTTTTATGCCTTACTATACTATGACGTTTTTTATGAAATTTTTTTTGCCATACTATACTATGACGTTTTTATGACATTTTTATGCCTTACTATACTATGACGTTTTTTATGAAATTTTTTTGCCATACTATACTATGACATTTTTATTACGTTTTTTTTATGCCTTACTATACTATGATATTTTTTATGCCTTACTATACTATGACGTTTTTTATGAAGTTTTTTATGCCTTACTATACTATGACGTTTTTTATGAAATTTTTTTTGCCATACTATACTATGACGTTTTTATGACATTTTTATGCCTTACTATACTATGACGTTTTTTATGAAATTTTTTTGCCATACTATACTATGACATTTTTATTACGTTTTTTTTATGCCTTACTATACTATGATATTTTTTATGCCTTACTATACTATGACGTTTTTTATGAAGTTTTTTATGCCTTACTATACTATGACGTTTTTTATGAAATTTTTTTTGCCATACTATACTATGACGTTTTTATGACATTTTTATGCCTTACTATACTATGACGTTTTTTATGAAATTTTTTTGCCATACTATACTATGACGTTTTTATTACGTTTTTTTTATGCCTTACTATACTATGATATTTTTTATGCCTTACTATACTATGACGTTTTTTATGAAGTTTTTTATGCCTTACTATACTATGACGTTTTTTATGAAATTTTTTTTGCCATACTATACTATGACGTTTTTATGACATTTTTATGCCTTACTATACTATGACGTTTTTTATGAAATTTTTTTGCCATACTATACTATGACATTTTTATTACGTTTTTTTTATGCCTTACTATACTATGATATTTTTTATGCCTTACTATACTATGACGTTTTTTATGAAGTTTTTTATGCCTTACTATACTATGACGTTTTTTATGAAATTTTTTTTGCCATACTATACTATGACGTTTTTATGACATTTTTATGCCTTACTATACTATGACGTTTTTTATGAAATTTTTTTGCCATACTATACTATGACGTTTTTATTACGTTTTTTTTATGCCTTACTATACTATGATATTTTTTATGCCTTACTATACTATGACGTTTTTTATGGAGTTTTTTATGCCTTACTATACTATGACGTTTTTTATGAAATTTTTTTTGCCATACTATACTATGACGTTTTTATGACATTTTTATGCCTTACTATACTATGACGTTTTTTATGAAATTTTTTTTGCCATACTATACTATGACGTTTTTATGACTTTTTTATGCCTTACTATACTATGACGTTTTTTATGAAATTTTTTATGCCATACTATACTATGACGTTTTTTATGAAATTTTTTTTGCCATACTATACTATGACGTTTTTATGACATTTTTATGCCTTACTATACTATGACGTTTTTTATGAAATTTTTTTGCCATACTATACTATGACATTTTTATTACGTTTTTTTTATGCCTTACTATACTATGATATTTTTTATGCCTTACTATACTATGACGTTTTTTATGAAGTTTTTTATGCCTTACTATACTATGACGTTTTTTATGAAATTTTTTTTGCCATACTATACTATGACGTTTTTATGACATTTTTATGCCTTACTATACTATGACGTTTTTTATGAAATTTTTTTGCCATACTATACTATGACGTTTTTATTACGTTTTTTTATGCCTTACTATACTATGATATTTTTTATGCCTTACTATACTATGACGTTTTTTATGAAGTTTTTTATGCCTTACTATACTATGACGTTTTTTATGAAATTTTTTTTGCCATACTATACTATGACGTTTTTATGACATTTTTATGCCTTACTATACTATGACGTTTTTTATGAAATTTTTATGCCATACTATACTATGACGTTTTTATGACATTTTTATGCCTTTCTATACTATGGCGTTTTTTATGCCTTACTATACTATGACGTTTTTTATGAAATTTTTTTTGCCATACTATACTATGACGTTTTTATGACATTTTCATGCCATACTATACTATGATGTTTTTATGACATTTTTATGCCTTTCCATACTATGGCATCTTTATTCCTTACTATACTATGACGTTTTTTATGCCTTACTATACTATGACGTTTTTATGCCTTACTATACTATGACGTTTTTATGACGTTTTTTATGCCTTACTATACTATGACGTTTTTATTACGTTTTTTTCATGCCTTACTATACTATGACGTTTTTTATGCCTTACTATACTATGATGTTTTTTATGACATTTTTATGCCTTACTATACTATTACATTTTTATGCCATACTATACTATGACGTTTTTATGAAATTTTTTGTCAACCTACTATACTATTACGTTTTTTTTATGCCATACTGTACTATGACGTTTTTATGACATTTTTATGCCTTTCTATACTATGGCGTTTTAATGCCGTACTATATTATGACGTTTTTATGCCTTACTATACTATGACATTTGACATTTACACTTTTTTTTTTTATACTTTATTGAGCAAATGATAAATTAAATATCCTTGAAAATAACCAGGAGATGAATCAATAATGAAAAGTCTTTTTTTTTTTTTTTTTTATTATTCTTACACAAAGCCACAGATATGCACATACAGACACATAAAAAGTAATAGAGTAATTAATACCACAAGCGCATAACAACATCAGAGAACGAAAAAAACATCAATAAGTAAAATAAAGCAAAATAAATCATTTCACAGCAGAAATTTCAATCAGTTTTCATCTTGACCTTAACTCTCATTCAATCTTCTTCTACATTGTTGTTTCAACAGTGTTGTAATGTGGAAGACAGATGTTTTGTGCCAACCCAGTGTTATGATGTTCTAGCATCTTTGCATTAAAGAAATGTTGAATTCATTACTGAGTGGTCTAGAAACCATAAACATCTATTACAATAGAATTCTTATAGGCGTTACTAGGAGCCCTGCAGTCACTATAGTAACCTGTGTTCACCCTTTCTTTTCACAGCCAAGCAACCCTGGTTGTGTTTTGGATCACATTCTTGATGGATTTTGACACGTTTTGATTCATTTGCTTGAAACACAAAAAGTGTCTTTTTCCTGAGTCGTTGCCGTGGTGTAAATGGTGTCTCTCACATCACAAAATTAATGTGCCTTTGGTCTTTTGTCACACAGGGTCACTCTCTCATTCAAAAAGGGCTATTAGCATAGCAGTCACCAGTACCCATTGTGAGGCTCTCAGCCTGGAAATGCCCACCCGCTGTGTTGCATTTCAGTGCTGTAAATGACTTTTGAAAAGAGGTTGCTCAGTGTGATTTTTGCATCCCACTCTGCAGTTCATCATCCTGGTTGTCGACAGCACAGACAGAGAGAGGCTGGCCATCTCTAAAGAGGAGCTCTACAGGATGTTGGCTCATGAGGTAAAACTCATCTTAACAAATCTCAGTATGGCCATAAGGAAACAGACTACACAGAACTGAGTCTGTTTTTGTAATGGACATTGATTTTCCAACACAGTTAGCCCTTTCCACTGGGCTACATTGTTTAGAGCTTGTGGTCAAGACGTCGCAGAGAGCAGGGTTGTGGTCTCATTGTTCTCTGTCCTCTCCCTCCATCTCCCTCAGGACCTGCGGAAAGCAGCTGTGTTGATATTTGCCAACAAGCAGGATATGAAGGACTGTATGTCCGCAGCAGAGATCTCCAAATACCTCACCCTGAGCTCCATCAAAGACCACCCCTGGCACATACAGTCCTGCTGTGCACTTACGGGCGAGGGGTAAGACACATCTGTTGATAGTTTTACAAACAGTGGCAGACAGCAATGTATGCACATGGTTAGCAGAATTTTAATTCACTAAAGGATGGATAGATGAACTTCCACGAACCCACCATGGTCCCAACCCTGTCCAGTTGCCAGAGTCACAATCACTATACAGTTGTTTTTAATTGATCTTCTTAAGTAGGCACATTATGATTAATATCTCCTAGGCAACATATCAGTGAGAGTAATAGTAAAAGAAAACAAAGTTATTCATTAAAAAATGTACGATGTATGATTTTCTCACAGGACGGACCATATGTGCCATCAGTTTAACAAGTGGTTCTATTTTATGCAAACTTGAAAAGTTTTCTAGTACATAGTAAATTTAGCCACCCCTGTGAAATGAAGAATATCAACGTTTTTCTCAGGTTATATGTACATAAGTAGAATAAGAAGAGAGGAGAAATATGACCCTGCACATTTAAAAGACATTATTATAAGTATGGGAACATTTCTACTTGATACCAAATAAAGTATTCAAAAGTAATATTTCTGTATGGGTTGTCTGCCGGTTTTAAAATCTGGGTCCAGGTCAGATTGATTTTAATTATTCATATCAATAGAAACTATAGATGTTTTGGTTTCACCAATTATACTTCATATCTGGTCTTTAAAAGTGGTAAATTTGACTTGTGCATTTACTGCAGCCCTTCTAAACAACAGTATTACCGTTTTAATATGTAATACATCTTGGCCTCTTGGACTTTCATTACTCTCATTTGGATCACACAAGTGAAATTATGAAATCAGCTGCTGTGAGTATTTCAAACCACCAGATGTCACTGTGTCTGCTAAGTTTAAAGCCCCGAAGCTTAAAATCTTTTTTTCAGATGAAACAAAACGAAAGCCTCATAGCTTCATTAACCTTTGTCCGCCCATTTCTACTGTTGACCTGCAGTTGGTGTACAAACTGATTTGTATTCACTACAATAAGACAACAAAGGAAGTCACTGAAACCTATTTAAAAATATGTTTGAGGTAAGCGCATTTTCAGCCACTGACCTCTTCATCTTTGTTTTTCCAGTTTATGCCAAGGTCTTGAGTGGATGACTTCCAGAGCTGGACTCAGATAGCCCCTCCCTCAGCCATCGGCCTGACTACCTGCACCACCCACAGGGTGGCAAAACAGCTGGCTTATTGTTACTTTTTATTTTATTTTTTATGTCAAAGTTGGACTTTGACCTCTGCAGACGGCACAGTACGGGAGCACTGACACGTCTACTTGTTACAGTGGAGCTGATAACTTCTCCCAGTCAATAAAATGCACGACCAGAACTTTTGAACTGACCTGGTTATGGAACAAGAAGGAGAAGAGGATTATTTCAGTTCAGAGGATGTCCAGGTGCAAGGTAGGGCTGCACTGGACACTGAACATTTACACAACATACATATCATGTTACATTACACCATATCATTTCAGAGTATGCCATAAATGTCACATTGATGCCCAGCTTGGAAAAATATGATGCAGCTCTATTATTATCATTATTATTTTGCCTCTGTATAAGTTTGTTCATGTTCAGGTCAAATATAACGGGACAAACAAAGGGATTACAAGCAGTATTGTAAAACCAGTTTTGATGGTGATGGTGGCACCAAGTTTTGCACAGAGCTCATCAGGAGTTTCACACAATAATGTTCGCATGATGTTTTTTTTGTTCTCAATATCTGTTACATGTAATTTCAGTTTCATAAGCTACACTGTTGGTGGTCTTCTCACACTAAAACTTTTGGTGCCGTATTGAATTGTGGTGAAGTACGAAATCTCCCTTTTTATTAACTTTGAGCCTGTACTTGTATGTTATTAAGCCAAATTGTCTAGATTCAAAGTCGGCATGCAAAGATTTTCCTTAATCAAACCCTCGGAACAAATGGCGAATACTTCAGCTATTTATTTAATTTAGCAAAACATGAAATGGCTGAAACATGATTTCAAGTGCAAGTACAAAGCTCGGTTTTAATAACAGTATTTTAAATTTAAACACAGTGATGTCAGTGATGCATTATGATTTTTATTTAATTTTATTCTTTTATGTTTGCTTTTATAGACTGCTCTTGCTAACAGATGATCATTGGTGCTCCACAAGTGTGTGACTGATCCACTGCATCCTAATATAAACATGTCATTAATTTTCTGCTGCCATTTTGGCACATATTCCTCTTAAAACGTTTTATACTTTTTAATCAAAGGGATCAGAACAAGCTGCCGCCATCGAAAAGGTGCCACACATTTACAGGATGTTGTTACTCTTTAACCACTTGGATTTGAATGTTCAGTGGTTTAGTAGCATTAAGATCTTAATCAATATTTTGACCATCATATAGTTACAATACTTGATCCTCAGCCTTAACTGAGCTGTTGCGAGTGTCTGGAGGACCATATGTGTATGAATCTGACAAACCCCTCATGATTTTTACCCACGTTTCCCTCTTCGAAGCGGTATAAGAATTCCTTGAACTTGCTAACAGATCTATGCACGTGTCACTTTGTTCCATAGTGGCCAAAAGGGAGGAGGTGCATGAGTTTCATTAAGTCTGAACCAAAAATGGTTAAGAACTAGTAAAGATCTTGGTCCTGGAATGCCTCTGGGTCTCTAGAATATATTATCCATGGTTGTGGGACAAGGTATTTTTACACTAACAGGAAAAGGTGAACTGTGCAGCTCCCAGACTCTTTGCAGCATTAAGGTTTACAAAATATTTACCTTGGTCTCACACAGCAAGGGAACTGATCTTATACTGTCAGTGTAGTGGTGTATAGTCTGGGTCATGTACTGTTTTGTTTTCAATAAAAGTTTGTTTTGAACTTTGAGCCTGAATCTTTTTTTCCCCCAAAACAAGGCAATTTCAGTGATTGTTTTTTGTGTTTCAAAAAGACAAGAACCAGGCTAGTCTGATTCAAACACCAGTTTATTCACATCTGTAATATATCGGCCAATCAAAGCACAAAGCAGTCAAGAAAAGACACAGAACTCCTACCCACTTTTAAAAGGAACGTAAAGAGGAGCTTAGTTTCTAAAAAACAATGCCGAACATATCAGTCATTTTTCTGTTAAGATTTTCTGTGTTTTTTTCCCTCCAAACTGTACTATACATTCACTTATCAATGACGCCTTTGCACTGAGGTAATGAGCAAAGAAAACACTGGCAAGACAAGACATTTAGAAATGAAGGTTAAACAGGAATAGGTTAAGGAGACAATGAAAAAATATTGGATCTAGGCGACATACGAAATGAAACTGACTAATAGTGAACGTCTGATAAAAGCTGATATGTTTTCTAAGCTGCAACCCAGGTGCCAACAGCTTCCTCCTGTCTAACAAGTACAGACACGTGTTCGCAGTAATATGGTTCAATAATACAGTTATAAATGCAGCGTTTTTAGATTTAAAACTCAGTGCTAAAAAAAGTTCTCACAGTAACATCACTGTCACACATAAAAAGCAACACACAAAGTAGCAAACAATGAACAACAGCTGAGTTTTCAGCTGATCAGTCAGCCTTAATAGGACTTTTAAAATGGACCCAGCCCCGTCCCAGGTTGGAATATTATAAACTTTTACCTGTCTTCATTGGTGCTGGTGTTATCTGGACTCCGCTTTGACATCATTTGCAAGAAACCCAACTCGCTTGCAGTCCTCTAGGCCACACATCCATAACAAGACGACCTCCTTCTCGAAAAGTCCATGAAGTGGTCTCTTTGGAAATGTGACAAGTGTATAGAAGCCCGGTATGTGTCAATGTGTTCTGCTTGGGCCTGGAGCTTTGGGTCAAAAGCCATCCTGGAGAATGAAGGAGCTTAAAGTTACCGTGGGGTCTTTACAAAATGTCCACCATCTCACGGTACACAGTTCACTGCCAGCAGAACAGAAGGCTTCAAACATGCATTTGTCTAAAGTGTGAACATGGCTTTGGATGAAAGGCAGCAACAGCCCAAAAACAAAAAAGGTAGGATGAGGCGAAGGAGGAAAAGCCGAGATATTCTTTGGCCAAGGCGCGTCGTCTGGGAAAATTCACACGCACAGAGCTCTGGGGCACCTGAGAGAGGAAAAGGAGAATATAAATGAGACGTTGCCACATGAAATCACCTACATCCACTAATAGGAAATTACTCCCACTTAAACCACTGTAATGTAGGGTCTTACCTGTCCTCAGTAAAGCCATCCATTTCCTCCTCATCATCCAGCTCCATGTCCAGCTCATTGTCGAGACAATCACGGCCATAGCCACTCAGGACGCTGCAGGTATGAAAGATCAGCTGATCAGACGTGAACAACTCTTAACAAGAATTACATTTGTTAGTTTACTCCTCTCTGACCTCTTTTGGAAACGGAACTTGTATCCAATAACCATAAAATATAATTTTTTATCATAAAATAAAATGTAATAAAAAGTACATTATATTTTATGATAAAATAGATCAAACCTATTCCGGTAATGTAAAATACAGAAATACAAATAACCTAGATTAGTGTTGCTCTGTTTAATGAAGTGTGCAGTTAAATATCTCAGATGCAGAATCAGTGATGTTAACAGCATGAAGGCAACAACTAAACTGATTGACTGTTGCGGCTGCTGACCTGACAGAGCGAAATGTGAAGAATACAATCCTCTTGAGCTTCTTGTTGTAGAAGAAGTAGTTGAAGGACCAGAGGCTCCCCTCTTCACCAAAAGGATCCGAGTCCAGATCAGGGTTGTAGCTACGAACAAATATATGGACATGACCTTAAAAAGGCTATACTGTATCCCAAAGGGTTTTCAGCAACATAAATTATCTGCCATGTAATATACAAATGCGTGTTTGTGCAGACACACTCCTACCTGTAAATGTCACAGCCCTGCAGGTTAATCTCCTGGTCGACGGCGTTCCACAGCTCCGGGCCAAGAGAGTTGAACTCCTCTCCCACAGCTGAGAACAAGCTGGTGTTTACTGCATTAGCCACCTGCAGAGAAATCCAAATCAAATCATCATCTAACCACGTCTTTCCTCGTCTCTACACTCATCTGACATGGAGAATATACGCCCTGCTCCACAGGGAAGTCAGAATCAGCTGTAGAACAAAAAACTGACCCAGTTGAGACTCGGTTCTCGGCTGAACTCGTGGGCCCGTGCTGCGCTGAAGTCATAGTCCGGCCTGAAAGACTCGTTGAGTGTGGTGATGAGGTAGAAAAGAGTCTTCCTGCAACACTTGTCACTCAGAGGGTTTTCCCCATCCTCACTGCTCTTCCCCAGTCTGCACAGAAGGACACATGAGGAATTGAACAAAAATACCAAAAACAGTGTCATACATCCACTATATACTAAGGTGTCTATGACTGCAGTACTCACTGTGAAGGGCTGGTGGCGCTGGTGGACTGAGGGGGAGAAAGAGCCTCCAGGACGTGTGGCTCCCCCTCCTGGCAGAACTGCTTGAACATGTGTTTATCGTCTCCTGCCATCTTGCAGGAGTAACTCTCGATCCTGTGGGGCAGAAACGAAGTTGCATTTTGAAAGTGATACATATTCATGTGTGATATGAATGTGTGTGTGTGTGTTTTTTATAAACATAATGGAAGAGTCCAGCTGTTGGCTGAATCCCTTAAGACTACTTCAATAATCCACTAGGCTTAAACACACTATTACACAACACATTAGGGGTACCTGAGGGTATTTTAATGGTTGTTTAATCAACCATGTGAAGCCCGATTCATTTCTGAATGTAGAAACCATTTCAATCCTCTCAAATAAAAATAAATAATATAAAATAAATAAATACTACAAGGCACTAAAAATACATTAGGTTACACCTATTGAATATCCCCTAGGGGAAAAATGATCTAACAAACAAAGCATAAGAAAACAAAAAAAAAAGCTCTGTGCACAACATGTACAATGTCTAGTTTTGTATAATCAACAGTCCAAATGTCAAAAATATTCAATTTACTATATTGATGCAGCTGGCTTTGGGAAAATATGAACATCAGATCTGGTATAAAAAGACTTATTACAATAAACAAGACTATAACCCATATCTCTGTTTGACAAGGCAGGCCGTGTCTTTCCACTGGGAACCATATCTGCACAAACATGTGTCAAGAACAAGTCGGTGTTAAAATCTGCTGCGTGTTCCTTCATGTTTCTGGGTCAGACAGCTTTGTATACAGATATGCAAGTGAAGCACACTGGGGTCCAGTTGTTTATTTTGCCCCCACCTACTCACCCAGGGGTTATGTAAGAGCAAAGGTTGTGCAGCTTTAGATAGACTACTAAGACCCTCTCTGGCCTTGCCAGCCTAATTATAGGGACATGGGGTGGCAGAGAATACCATGGTGGAAATAACTGCCCTGGTTTTCCATCCACAACACAGCTGACCTGCCGACAAAACACTTGTGAGAGATCTGACACCGTAGCAGAGTTAAGATTATGAACACTAAAATGTGATTAAAAATAGCTCCTACACAACTGTTACCTTCTGTACACAACTCCAACTGCAACCGTCTTACATATTTGTGTTTATTGTATTAACCATTTAACCATTAACTTACCGTACTGCTGTTTTTGCACTAAACAAACAACCTTTGCACCGAGCACTAGCTGCAATCTTTTACTTAGTTTTATGTATTCAATGTCTCACAATACAAATAAAGCTGATCACTATTTTATGTTGTTTAATTGAATTTCTGTGTGGTTAAATCAGAATTTCAGCTGTGGAAAATAACATGAACCATCTGGAAGGTACAATTTTAGTTAAAGCCTGCAGCTTGCAGGTCCTGCTGCTGTGATGGGCTGCCACGCTAATCCACTAAGCAGCCTAAACACCAGCAGACTTGGCAGCTCCAGCAGCACTCAACTATTATATTGTATTAATATATGTGTTTGTGTGTGTATGTACATATGCTCCAACAACACACTTCACAACAACCTCCAAAATAGCCACAGAGCAGTGCGAGAGGACACCAAGATGTGTGTCACTCTAGGTCACAACAGCACAGAAGCTCAGTTTCACCACCCACGCTCCAAACACTGCTCTCAGACTGGGCTGCATAACTCCACAACCCACTGCCCTTTATGTAACCACACTGTCACTGTAACGGCAGGCCCCGCTCAAGGCCTTACATAACCTACAAAAAAAGTGTAATGTTTTAGAGTTTGCTGGGTCAATTATCAACTGTCAGCATAGGTCCCGAAAGTAGGCTTTCAGTTCAGCAGTCTGTTATCATGATATTGCATAACGTGCAGGTACTTGTTTGCTCTACTACCCCTGTTTATGAGCCGATTCTGAGATCTCTGAACCAGCCACACCTCTCATACTCTCCGACTTTGTCTCATGACATCATACCAGAGAAAACCTTTCCTGTATAAGGAAAAGTTTTTGGAAAAGTTGGAAGCTGTTCACACCACTCCGGTGGGTCTTATTTTGATGTAAACATAAGTGAGTCTGAGATTTCACTGTAGTGTTGATGTTCCTGTTGAGCAACTAAGTCTGCACTGCTGAAATAGAAACAGTAAAGCTGCTCACACAAACGCCCCTCAAGAGGTGAACATGTTTCATTCCAGGGCAAATGGGGGCTGTGTTGTGTATATGAACTAAAAGGTGGAGTTTGTACAGTGTCTGAGTACAGCAGACCTTTGGAAAACAATAGATCCAAAAAGACTCCCCTCCTTCCTTTAGAGCTGCATCTAATGACTATTTCCATTATTCATGAATCTGTTGTTTATTTAATCGATCTAAACGTTTCACAACAGACCTAGTTGATGCCCTCAAATATTAATCTACAGTATTTCAATACAAGGATATGCACCCCGTACATTTGAGAAACTGGAACATTCAAGTATTTGGCATTTTTGCCTGAGAAGTGATCTTTCCTGACAATCATCTCTCCAATTTCCTGGTATAACAACTACTTTTTACCCCTGTAAAACTGAATAATTATTACAATGGAGTGTACAGTGGTTCATGTTGTAAAACAAGCTAAAACTAAATGACCCCTTACCTGCCAAGGATGCGAGACTCTCCTGTTTCAACACACAGTCGGGAGCTGAGAGCTTCAAAGCTGGAGTTTTCCAACAATTTCATTGCTGTCTGAAAAACAAAAAACAAAACATAAAGATGGTGTTCGACAACAGTTCCATTAGGAGAATAAGCAAACTCTTAGTCCCTTATTTTATTTTTTATAAACAACTTGAAACGGTGCCAAGGAGAATTTAAGAATTAAGAATTTAAATATGTGTTAAACAAACATTAGTACATTACATTACACAGTACATTTACTCAAGTAATTTGTCCAAATATAAATCTGACGTACTAATGTTGTGAAGTGGGAGTATAAGTGTATAGTGTGAAACGAATACCCCGAGGGCAATGTTGTGCTTTTTAGTCAACAATTATTTTACTAGTCACTTCACATATTAAGTAGCTGCATAGAAAACATAAGGAAATATGATGTTTTGCTGTAAACAGCCAAAAAGTACAGCTGAAATGATCAGTTGAGTAAAAAAAAAATTAACTACTCTGACAATCATTTCAGTTCATTTTTAAAGCAAAAATACTAAGCAATTCATAGTTCAAGCTTCTCAAACGTGAGGAGTTAATTCTTTTAGTTATTTCAATTTATTTTCAATAATTCTACATTTCTACATTGTGGTATTAGTATTTTTAAGTGGGTAGAGGATCTGAACAGCTCCACCACCACTGTTTATAAAGTCAGTAAAGAAATTATATCAACTGTTGTCTATATACAAATAATTAGTAAGGTGGGGTTACAGCGCCCCATGAGGGCCCATTATAAAATAATGATAAAAACACATTTCCTCTCTGTAAACCACCGCCCCTCCCCCACCCTGTTCAACACAAGTTGACAAATCGGCTTCCTGTTTCTGTTCGTCGATGTTATACCACTATTTACTTACCGAGCAGTATTTTCAGCAGAGACAGAAAATAACAGGTTCAGAAGTCAATCCGCAGACTGTAGACACTCGTTTTCTTATCCCAAGCAGTCACTCGGCGACGTAAAAGCTTAACGATCCGCGCTTTATCTTTGACTAGCTAACGTTAGCTAAGTTAGCGGTTAGCTTGCTGGTTATTAACGCTCCTGTCTTCACTTCACAGCTGAGCTACTAATTCGCACTTGAGCTTAAACATCTTACAAAAGCACTCGGTCGAGAGGGAGTTATTCTGAGGCCTTTTAAATTTATAGAAAAGCTGCTCTTCCCGATTAAATGCGATGAGATTAAATCCAGAGACTGTTTGCGTCCGTCGGAGTCTGTCTGCAGCGGCATCCCTTTCGACCTGATTTTACAAAACAATTTGTATTAGCTAGATCAAGTCGCCTTTTTCTAAGCGACTCGATCAGAAAAGTAGCAACTAACGAGTCACCTAGCCTAATGATATATCAAAACAGGTCAAGTTTTTCTCAAATCATCGGTCACCTCAATAAGGCATCTATTCTCATCAAAACAACGGAATCTACTGTGCTGACAAGCCCAACCCCTTTTCATTTATATATGTTTGTCTTGCGAACACGCCCACTTTTAAATCAACGCTCTCTTGCGATTGGTTCTTTGACCTGTCGATATAAAGGACGAGCAAAGGGATTGGTTTAAACTTGCTCGGTCTGGCCCCAGGCTGGAGCTGTGTTAAAATGTCTTCAAACAGAGCCCCAAAGACAAGAAACTCATACTGTGTATAATTTTGGTTGTGTTTTATTTATCTGTGTTCACTCTTCATCTCTTAAATGCTTAGCCTCTAGAACACTCACTTGAAACCTTCAAACATACTGTTTTTTATATACAAATATCTAAAGGCCATTTTTTCTTGTTATGGCTCGTTTTAATTTTTATACAATCCAATTTTGTCTTTTTCCTCTCAGTTTTCTAGATTTAGTTTTCGTTTTGAAGTTTCCCCTGTTATTTTTGCCTTCTACGTCTTCTGAATGTATATCTTCTGTGAAACACTGCACTGCACTAAATCATAGGAAATGTGCTGATTAATTTAATTAAAGATACAGACATATCATGCCCTCAAGCACGTAGCAATAGCACGATGATGCAATAAAACAAAACAAAATTTAAGCGTCCGGGTGAAAAATGTTGTGCTTTTAACTTGTAAACCAATATTGTAAAAAAACAAAAACAAAACAAAACAAAACAAAACATTGCCCCAGGTCCCCTACTTGCTGTAAATAAAAATAAAATAAAAGCCACTATTAATTTAATTCAACGGCCCAGTGGCCTAATGGATAAGGCATCAGCCTCCGGAGCTGGGGATTGTGGGTTCAAGTCCCACCTGGGTCGTCCATCAATAAGATCATTAATGTTTATAATGCAGATTTAATTCACAGCAGGGAAATAAAACAGATTGGATGTGCATATGCTGCAAAGTGAATTAATATGCTGCATTATTCTCTAATGAAATGAAAAACCAAAGTCAAATATTTCAAAAGAATATTTTATTGAAATAAAAACATATTTTATATAGAAATCTATTGGTTTGTCAGGTCTGTGTGATATAGTCAGAAACATCCCCCAGGCCTATGCTCTCATTATCCAGGTACTCCAGGATTACATTACCCCCATTGTAAAGGGGAGTTTCAGGGTGAGCCAGCAGGGAGAACAGGGTGTCATCCATCCGCAAAGCCTCACCTGTCTGAGGATGACATAACCGCAACTTCTGCAAACACAGAGGAGGGAGACATGCTGTCAAGACATAGACTGTTTTTATACTGTATTATAATTTCATCAACTATATTTAGAATATTCAGGAAAAATGTAATATAGAATTCCTTTCTGAATATTATGAGAAATTATCTGGATTTTTTTTGTTCTTTATGGTATAAACTTTGATTAAATATGTGTAATCAAAGCGTGATAAAAAATGAGAGACAATTTCAAGATTTGCTTGTGGATATTCAACAGCAAAATACTATATATGCATCCTTCCAAAAAGTGTTTAGCTAGGCTTCTCTAAATTCATTTATTCAAACAAATTACTACCTAAATATAAACAGTTTTTACCAGAGAATGGGACAATAGGGGGGAGAAAATCAAATGTCTGGTTTTGTGTTAAAGAGGAGCTTCACTAAGTTAACATACTGTGAAAAAAAAAACTTCTTCTAAAACAAAAACATTGACATGCAAAACATTTAACACAGCTTAACCCAACTTCCTGTGAGCAGAGTCCTTTCTTGCTGTTGTCACATGCTGTGGGCAGGAAGGTCATCATTTGCATTTCATGTGTGCAAACAGGGTTGATATATACATAGAAATTTCACTGTTCACTTCACTGTTGACAGTGAGTATTTTAGTATTTTTACCCTACTTTATTTTTTTGTTTTTAGTGGGAGTCATGAAGAAGACAAGGTAGTTGAAGAAGAAAGTAATGTGAGAGGTGGGAGAAACTGATCAGTCACTTATCTGTAGTTGTAAATGTGTTAATAAAATGTTTTGTGATTATCAGTAACTCTATTCGTACTAGTTTTTACCTTAGCTGTCAGTACATTATTGTTGTTCTTGAGGCTAGCTAGAGAGGCTGCATAATCCACCACTTTTCCCACACTCCATTTGGAGCAGAAGAACATGGGTTGGCTGGAGTCTTTAGATTCTTTAGGGAGATAAACCTGAAAATAGGTTCTCTCTGTCTGGAAAGCCAAAAAAGGAGAGGAACTAGTCAGCTGGACAAAATAATAAACAGAATCATACACAGAGGCACACTGAGGATAATATGCAAAGTTAATTATGTCAATATATAAAGCTCTTTTTGGGAATTAAATACATAATAGCTAGGATTTTACCTGTGGTAGTCCCTTGTCTCCTGCAGCATGCAGTTTCAGTTTCATTAACGCTACCTTAGCTGCAGTTGCACTGTTCTTTGCTCCTCTACGTCCTTTACTTTTGGATCCATGCTTTGACTCTGAGTAGACACAATAGAGTGACAACATAATCCTAATGTACAGAGGTGAAGTAATACAAACAGATGTGCATTAGCTATGACAAAGATGCCAGCAATTTGTTTAATACTGATCCCATGTGGACAAAAAAGGAATGACATAAGAAAAAGCCATATTGGCAAGATACCTGTTCTACACTGTAACTTACCCACTATTTTTTGCACGAGCTCTTTAGTGGCTGCCATACGAGGCTTTTGGACCTCCAACTTCTCACACTTGTGATCATCTTGATGACGATGGCTATAAGTCAAGAACAAAAAAATGAGAACCTTTTACTTACAACAATAACTCCTTCATTTTGAGTCCATCTCTATCAAGTCCAAATCAGCACAGGAACCATAGTCCATGTCAGGATTAATTATATTGTTTCATGAAAGAGAGGGAAAAAAAAACTGCAAACCTACACCAAACAGAAATGTTTTTCACACTGCGGACATATTACTGGCAACAACTCTTTCCCCTTGCAGTCTTCAAATGAGCATGAATAACTTGTACTGCCACCAGCAGTCCTTGGTTCCCTTTTCACTGACTCCTAAAAACAGGTTAGAGGAAATTAGGTACAAAGACAACACAGCTAGTATCTTAGTGTCAGGGAAGAAGAACAATGTATTTGTCCCAATCTTATCAAAGAAGAACATTAAACACTTCATCCACAGTACAGCCTACCTCAGGACATGAGTGGGCCTCTCTGCTTCTGTGCTCAAGGCTGTAAGAGACAAAAAGATGCATGACATTGTGTACATACCTGGAATGTCTAAGATAAAAAAGTACATTTAGTCACTGAACTCAATTTACTGCACTTAAGTTCAGTTATGAGATAGTTTTTTAGTATTTTGTATTTCATATAATTTATACTTTACCTCCACTGTATTTCAGAACAAAATTGTGGCACCTAATATTGTTGTATGCCGTTTCCCATTTCTTTTCAAACTCAGTCTGCCAATTACTTTTTTAATAAATTGTTTAATCAATAAAATGTCAGATAATAATAATAATCCCAATGTGACAAATGTCCTGTTTTGTTTGATCAAACCCAAAGAAATTCAATTTACTTTCATATACATACAGCTAAGTCTCACAAATTAGAAGCTCACACTAGATTCTGTTTGGCAGTTCATTAGTGACACCTAGCTGAAACTGATGCAGTTGAATACAACACTCCTGAAATAAATCCTCTCTTCATTGAGGATAGAATGTTCAGATTTTGTAGAACTGTTTTAGAGGTGGTGATTCAATCGTATGGTGTTTTGGAGGCTGCAGTTTGTGGTGCTATTTAATTGTATTGGATTATACAGACTAGTGTTTCAATTATTTTGTCAACTGCATTTATATCAATGAGGGTAGGCAATGATACAGTTCGATAGCTACACAAATAACATCATCCAAACTGATCATTCAGTTGATATCAACACCTCTATAAAACAGTTTCAATAAAAAAGTTTCAATTATAACCTTCATGAAGGGAGGATGTATCAGTCAAAAAAAAAAAGCACAATTATAATAGCAATACTTTCACATTGAGTATTTAGCATTGTAGTTTTAACTACTCAATTAGTTGGAGTTAAAGGTCTGGACATCTCTAATTCTGAAATCGCTTCATATCTCACCAGAAAACGCCACTGCAGGAATCACAGACAAATGGAAGGAAATCTGTAAGAAGGATGGAGAGAACAAGCTCAACCAACCGATTTTCATAGTAGGGTTAATACAACAACAAACTGCATACCTGTCAGACTGTTTATTACAGGGTTCACGATAATGAACTGAGGTATGAGACGTAATTATTACAGACCTAAGTAGATATTGAAGTTTCTACATCCCCTGCAGTGAGACTGCCTACTGAAACTAGTCACCAATGTAACTGCATTTTCTCTTTTAGAAAACAAACGTACATTAACAGCCTAGTTAACGGGCTGCCTAAGCCATAAACCAGACTGAATTTTCTCACGATTAGTGTCTGACGTTTTACAGAAGATGCGAACATGCAGATGTGAACATAAACTGAACACTGGTGTCAGACAAAGATGATACAGTCAGCGGTTAGCTAACCAAGCTAGCTGACAGGCTAACCATGCTAAACAGACGCTGGGTGTGTTTTATTATTAACAAATGACGGCAGAGTAATGTCACACTTCAACATGTTTACTTATTACAACTCAGGTGAAGTTGAAACAGACCTTTAAGATTGCAGGAATCGATTTGACAATGTTTCCCAATATCTAAATCAGCCATTAGTTAGCCGTGAGTCTGCGGATGTCAACACGAACTTTGACCCCAAGAGGCTAATCACGTGACTGAGACTTTCTTTTTAAATTTATAGAATAAATAAAGTTTCACTACGAGAAACTATATTTTATGTCTGCAATAGAATTGACTTCGACTTAATAAATTGCACATTTATATAATTTATTATATATATGTATATATATATGTATATATACATATATTTTTTTTTAATTCGTTCTACTTTTAGTATTCCTTTCTTCATTCGCTTTAAGGTTACATCTATAACAATATAAGTCATAATTCATCAAAGGACTAATAAAAAGTTGTTTTTGTTAATCATTGTGAAACGTAGTGAACGGAGGAAAGAAGTTTCAGGGTGAAAGGGGAGGCAGGGCGTCAGGTGACAATACGTCACTCAGGTATTGGTGAAAGGCATAGGTGAAAGGTGTGGTGAAAGGTTCGTTCACTGGCTGATTTGAATTGAAAGCACTAAGCCGTCGAACAGGAAAGTCTGCTAACAACATATCTACCAGTAGAAACACTGGAGTGGGTCGTCAGAGTTTTAGTTACCTGAGCACTTTACTCCAAAGGCCGCAAAAATGAGCAAAATCGCGAAATTATTCAAGGGGAGTTCCAGCTCGAGTTCATCGAGCTCTTCGAAGTCCAAACACCACCGGTCGCGGGGAGGACCTTCCCCTCAGGAGGCCATTCACAAACTGCGGGAAACAGAGGAAATGCTGACGAAGAAACAAGACTACCTGGAGAAGAGGATAGAGCAAGAAATAATGATAGCCAAGAAGAATGGCACAAAAAACAAGAGGGGTATGTTTCTGTGCTCGTCAGAAAAACCGGTGCACCTGTTTTCTCGAGCCAAGGACATTCAGAAAATAGGCCCACAGGCTCTTTAAGTTTGTGCTTAAAAAGTTAATATTATCGTCTTTTTAAGGCAAATATCAAACTAAGACTCCTTACAGGTATGAAGGGAGGTGGTTAAAGAGGTTTGATATACGCTCCTCTATGGGATTATTGGCCTACAGTGATTGTTTTGTTGTGATGTTGTTTTCCCGTGAGCAAAAGCAGCAGCAAGCATAATGGGTTTGTACAAATGGGTTTGTAACAAGTGAGGTGACAGAAAAGAAACCAAAGAATTGATTAATATTAATGCTCAACGTTTTTGTAGTTGTTAAAGAAACTCAGTGTTTTCTCATATGAAACCTTGAGCTGCTGCATTGCTTAGGTGAATCACCTCAGACTAATAATAACCATTGTTATGTAATGGGAGGAACCCTGTCTCTTTTCAGTTTAACTCCTAACGCTTCTCAATCAGAGTGAAAGGTGAGAAATTATTAGACAGAGTTGCACTTGAGTGACTTCTGCAATCTCTCTGTATCAGCTGCTCTGCAGGCCCTGAAGAGGAAGAAGCGCTTGGAGCAGCAGCTCACCCAGATTGATGGCACTCTCTCCACCATCGAATTTCAGAGAGAAGCTCTAGAGAACTCGCACACCAACACAGAGGTCCTGAAGAATATGGGCTTTGCTGCCAAGGCCATGAAGCAAGTCCATGAGAACATGTAAGAACCTCCTGGTATAACCAATAAAACTGCAATTTTTTTTGTAGTAATTTACCTGAAATGTCTAAAACTGGTAAATGGCACTGCTTGTATCTTTTTGATAGGAGACCCAACAGTGCACCAATTTTAAGAGATGTATATCTCTCTTCTCTTTTTCAGGGATGTTGACAAAATAGATGATCTGATGCAGGATATCACAGAGCAACAGGATGTGGCTCAAGAGATCAGTGAGGCCATTTCCAGACCTTTCGGCGAGACATTTGATGAGGTTGATACCTCTTCTACCTCTCCTGTCAAAATCAACTTTTATGGCACTCTCTCCTTTTTTTTTTGGCAGTTTGTGACATATATTTTAAGATATGTGTGGTACTTTCTGTGTGTAGCTTGCTTATCCATTTCTTGCTCTCCAAAAATGCATCTGACAAAACTCTGTGTGTTGTTTACCTTATGTGTTTTCTTAGGATGAGCTGCTGGCAGAGCTGGCGGAGCTGGAACAGGAGGAGCTTGAGGAGAACATGAAGAGTATGGGCGGACTACCCAGCGTACCCAGCTCCAAGCTGCCTACAGCACGGCCCAGTCAGCGCGCAAGTAAGTACAACATAGCACAGGCCTACAACAGTAAATAAAGTTTTTAACCACTACTGTACATATTTGAAAATTCACATGGCACTTTCACAATTTCATCTGAACAATACAATCTTGATTTTGACAAATTAATCTCTTTCCCAAAACTACAAGCATGTGGCTGACACTGATGTTGTATTGTACGAGTCATTTATCTGTTACGAATAGCTTTATATTATTAGTTTTTGTTGAAAATGATTAAATAAAACATATTAAAACAAATTAATCCCTGATGAATGTTCCATTATACTTTAATAGCTTTAATTGTTAACTGTTTATTTCTTTTTACAGCAACCAAGAAAAGGGCTGAAGATGATGACGACATGCGTATGCTGGCATCATGGGCAACTTAAGTACATAAAAAAGGCACCGTTATAGTCACAGAAAGTGACAAAGAGATATGATATGAAGTTTTTTTTTTTTTTTTTTTTGTAAAGATATTTTGAGGTTTTTTAGGGAAAATGAAGTACATTATTATTTTTTAAAAACAATCGACAACCTTATAGCTACTTTGCAGATTATATTTATCAAGAAATAAAAAATTTTAAGTGAAGGAATCAGCAAACTGTAATTTTAAATCTGCTTTTCTTTTCTTCACTACCTCTGTTTCTTTTCATGTGCCATTCATAGCCAACCTCAGAATCTACTGCTTATATAAGCCTGATGAAGACATGAAGAGGACTGTGGTGTCTTTAACACATTGAGCATTCTATGTTGGACCACTGTAAATAAACGTAGACCTTGCATTAACACTGTAAATATACTGCCTTTCAATGTTCAACAATAAAATAATTCCCCTAATAATCTTGCCTGATATCTGCTGTTATCTTGGTGTATTTATCTGCTGTATGATGTGGCTGCACTACCAGTTGAAGAGTTGGACCACTGCAGTTCATTATGAGTGGCATAGATATTTTTTAGGATGGACTCTATAAGTCCCTGTAATATTGTGATTTTAAAAACACGTGTTATTGTGCTAAATATTGCCATATTCATTTTGATTTGAGCTTTAAACTTTTACTTTGCTACTGCAGTGTAGTTATATTACATCCAGTTTGCCATGGTTTTATTTTGAAAGATGTGTGGCCGGAAGATAACATCTTTACACACCAGTTAGCTTGTGACTTCTACAAGGGGAAGTCCTGGTCCGAGGAACTAGCCACCTAAAGACAAAATAACACCTGAAACAGACGAAGATCTGGATTAAAACACATTATGGAAGCGAACAGACCACACCAGACAGGAGGTAAGCCAGTAACGTTATTATCTTTCTAAAACTGTTTGTAAAAACAAAAAGATTGTAGTTGTCAAATAAGTATGGCCAGTTTCTGTGGCTACAAAAATTAGCGCTAAGTTAGCAGACAGTTTCCAGGCTAAACATTACCCTCTAAACCGGACGGTGACACGTTTCACACGTAGCAACTAATGTGAGAGGATGTTAGAAAAACGTTGTGTACATTTCGGTTAATCTTACATCGTTATTAACTAAGTATTACGACTTTTTACTTTTTTTTTTATCGCAAGATGGTTACTTAATACACTGCCGAGTAGTTTGTATATTTTTCCCTGGGATGAATACCGTCTTATCTCAACCTATATTTATATATCTTAACTAATTGGACGATTTTATTTAGTCATCTTAATCTGTAAAGTAACTACAAGTAACTACTATTTAGTACACATAAATGTACTTTTTCATTTGCCTATAGAGCCAAAGAGCCGAAAAAGAAACTACTCCTGTAAGAGTACGTAAAAATTGTAATTAACTACAGTACTTGAGTAGATGTACTTGGTTACTTTCCACTACTTTTTATTGGGAAGCTAAGGTAAATCGTGGACAAAAGTTTAATTTGGGAAAGTTGGTAAAAGAAATGCTTGTTAAAACGTTTTTGCACTCTACTACATCCCATCCCAACACTGTCTCTTTTCAATTCAGTGACCACAGCCGGAGATGCCTCTGGGACAGAAGAGGAGGCTAAAAAGACAGCAGCTGCAGCCCAAGCAGTCAACCGCCTGCCTGAAGTTCGACTGGTGGTGCTGGGTTGGAGGTGGCCGGGGAAGAGCCTGACGGGCAACACTATCATAGGCCGAGAGGAATTCCGCCTGGAGCGAGCAGCTGAGTTCTGTGTGAAGAGGCAGACTGAGGTGCAGGGGCGGCAGGTGATTGTGGTGGACACTCCAGGGTGGTTCTCCGCCCAGGATACACCACCCTCTTATAAACAGGAGTTAGTGAGAGGAGCTTCTCTTTCCACTCCAGGTCCACATGCCTTCCTGCTGGTCATCCCTGTTGGCATGTTCACAGAGGTGGACCGTGCACGCATCGAGGAGCATGTGAGCCTCTTTGGGGAAGGTGTGTGGATGCATACGATTGTGGTTTTCACCTGGGCGGAGGTGTTGCGGACAATTTCAATTGAGAGGTACATCCGTAGGGAGGGCAAGGAGCTGCAGTGGGTGTTGGAAAAGTGTAAGCGAAGGTACTTCGTCATAAATAACTGCATATTTGGGGAGCATCCCCAGGTAGGACGTTTGATGGAGAGGGTGGAGAAGATGGTGGCAGAGGAAGGGGGCTACTACAACCCAGAGGAGGTGGAGAAAGAGAAGAAGAAAAGTCTGGATGAGAACCAAAACACAGCTGGAGTGGGGCGCGATCTGGGGGCACGCCCCAAACAGAACTCTGGACTGGGTTTGTCCAAAGCCATGGAGGTGGATCCACTTTCCAGTGAGTGATGCGTCTATCATGGCTCAAGAGAAAGTAAAGTTTCAAATGTTAGGGGTTTCTTTTAGGACATTTCTGTTAAAGACAATCCATTGTTGTTATAAAAATATTGAATATAGCTGTTTCAAGGAAAGTAATCATATGTAATTTAATGGGGCCTTTTAAGTAGATGCATTTGTTAACCTTCCTTAACATTATCGCTTTGTGCCAGGCTGGTATGCATGAAATTCAGATTGCAGTATCTCAACACCTTTTCTTACATTTCTGTTCTGCACCTTTACACAGTCAGCTGGTCATTTCCTCCTCTGGTCTCCATAGCAACCCAAGAAAGACAAACCTAGAAAACAAAACATTATTCCTCCCTTTCTAACACCACTTCAATAACAGTGATATCACAGTATTTTAGCTAAATGCATGTGGATCAAGCTTGTTTATATATAAAATGGAGCCCTATTAATAATGCACTGTGTGTCCAATTCTAGATTAACCAGACACTCTTGACTGATGGACCGTCTAAACCACGACTAACGGAGCCTCTGCCTTGCCGTGCTGATGGCAGCGCTGCATATTTGACGAGACAAAAAAGGGTAATCAACCGAAATGTTACTTAATGTACAAACCATTTATTTTATTTATTTTTTTAATCAGACGTGACTGTGTGTGCTTTCTTTATTATATAGTATCTTTTCACTGATGATATCGGAGGCCTTTTCAACTTAAATGCCCTTCTCTCTTGCTGTTCAAAGATTTATACTCCCCAGTTTTAACATACAATATTTTATTTGTTAGTGTGGCGTCTTTAAGACTGTGTGATGGGATGGATTTTATTTAGTCTAAAACAAGGAAGCACAAGCTGTTACATACAGCAGGCAACCGCCATTATTTTTAAACCCAGTCTATACACTCCTTAGTCATGGCGGATACCAATGGCAGAATTGCACTACTAAATTGTTTCTATAATAATCTGCTGATGACTGTTGAGGGAATTGCTTTTATAACGATTCCCATTTGTTGTGACCAAACTGTAAATGCTTTTCTCATGCTGCGATGTTTATTACACTCTCAGTGTACAGTTGTAAAGCACTTGAGCAGTTATTGATTTTTGTCTGTTGCTTTAAAGCAGCGGTTTTACTGGCTGCCACTTCCACCGGGTTGGCCGGTGAGTTACTCTCAGAGAACCTGGGGTTGTTAGAGATAGTGACAGATCTGAGTGGTGTGACTCTTAAACCCAATCCAAGGTTCTGCAAAGTAAATATGTTAAAGCGTCTTTGTGTGGAATTTCGATGTGGTTATCACATCTTTCAAATGATTCTGAAAGCTTAAAGGTACCCTGTGGAGTTTGTGACCACTAGTCATGCTACGGGGCAATGTTTGTTGTTTGAAATGCACTTAACATGTTTTGTTAGACCTCAAGGATACATAGGGTAAACGTAACTTTTGTTTGTTTACTAAACTCCACAGGGCACCTTTAAGTTTGTAATATGTTTGTAGAAAAATTTGAATTTTAGTGAAAATTGGTTTTGTAAGTAGTAAGCAAAACTCTTTGTTATGCCATCATTGAATATTGAGCACCATGAGGTCCTCATGTATACATAGTAAATAAGCATGAGAGCGGGGTCAAAATGTACAATATTCCACAGGGCTAAAGCAACATTTATGGCATTTGTTGGCAGCCAGCTATGCCAAATTTAGCACCTTTTCCAAAGAGATGGTGGCTCTTCCTGACAGGGTAGAGTCAGCTGCTCTGGACAGACACTCCAACATTGCATGAGGAGGTATACAGCGGTTTTATGTAGGCCTCCTTTGTGAGCCTTACTGGGACTGATTCCTAACCTCAGCCACCACTTTAATGAAGCAGTGGTATGCCACCATTGGAGGACCCAGTTTAAGGAAAAGCACAGTAGATGGTTACATACTGTAGTTAACTATGGTTGTGTGGCCCAGTTGGATCACTCCAGTCCTGCCTCGTGTCATTCGTGTGTCTGTGTACTGTATATGGGGCCCTTATAGGAGTGGCCCAGCTGCACAAAGCATAAACAGGTGCACATAGTGTTGAATCGTTGCCTTGCATATCCCACAATCACAGATCAGTTCCCTGTGGTTACCAGTATAAATGCCAGCATACCTAGTTCAGACTCAGAGCCCTGCTAGTTTTAGTTTTAACTAACCTGGGTGTAAATCAGGTACTAAAAGAGGGACTGGTTGGAAATCTTTGCCTTCAATCTATTGTTCTTTGTAAATGTCACAGATCAGTTCTCAGTCTTGGCTCTCAGGATCTAGATCTTTCTGGTTTTCACTCCAACAATCGAATCTGGACTTTTTTCCCCCACTGGCACATCTAGTGAATGCAATCACCAGGATGGTCAGTTTGAAAACCAGTAGGTCAGGAGAGAGCCATGATTTACAACTGACTTAAGGCTTTTTTTTTTATCAAAGGAATGCTGTAGATAGTATAGATCCGTTTCTGAAAGCAGCTATTAGTGTTCTGCGTGAATGTATTTTTTATTCATTACAGAGTAAAGCAAATCCAATGTTGTATGTTTATATATAGGACTGTTCCACCCAGTGTGGATAAATACTGACATGAGTGCTGACATTTAATACAGAAACATTAGACAGGAAAGCGATTGACCTATTGTACACTCATTACGGATATTTTATTTTAGATCTAGGGAGTTGATATAAACACTCTGAATAAACACAATTACAAACACTGCTAAAGATGTAGCTCATACTGTATTTGGTTTAATGTCACTTGGCAGCACTGTCAGTGACAAGAGGTCAGCCAATCAGCAAAAAAAGAATAAGAGAAGATTAATAAAGAACAGGATCCACCAGTAATAATGTCTGAATATGGCAGACATGTATATTGCACGTTGACAAACTGCTCTGAGTCATGCAACTTAATATAAACTCCTTTGTAGCTGTGTTTGTAATGGTGAATTAGTTACTTTAAAAGTCCTTTTTCCTCAAGGGTCAACCTTGTTTGATCTCTCGTGGTTGAGTCCAGCATGTGAATCAAGTTACTCTTAAGAAATTAATGAACGAAGCCAAGGATCCTCTCTGGGCTTTTGCTGCACCCGTTGTGTGTCTTATTGTCCGACACTGTTCAGATTTGCTTGTGATAAAAAATGAATGGCTTCAATTTAGCGAGTGCTGCATTGTTTAGTATTTTTCTGTTCAAATAAATGCATATTTTGATCTAGTGTACGTCTGGTGCCTGTTCCTTTAATACTTCACATGTGAAGACTTTATCACTCATATATGCCTCTTTAATTTGTTAAATTATGTGTTTGCCACAAGCTTTTATAGGTTTAAAATTATTGTTTTAATTAGGAAAGATGGCTATAAATGTTAGCCTAAAAGAGACTTTTTTTTATTTTCTTGAATGACCTATTAATCATTTAGCCCATGAAATGTTAGAATAGCCCAATATAATGTCTCCAAATTAGGTGTTTTATCTCACCTACAGTCAAAAACCCAAAGATATTTCATTTATTATCATCATTTAAAGAAAAGCAGTAAATCCTGATTAGCAAAGGTGGAACCAGAGAATGTTTTGATATTGTGCTGGAGCGATAACTGAAACCATTAATTGACTATTAAAATAGTTTATATACTAAATATAATAAATGTTTATATATCCTGCTAAAGTATCAGTATCTGGGGTTCTCAAAGTATTTCCAACCTAAAGTCTTACAGTTCAGTTTGGTCCCAGATACTCTGGATTCTCAGGTTCATCAATCCACTAGGTCCGGTAAAGAGATTGGGGATAGCAGACTCTAGGTAAGAGTAACAAGACCTCCAGCACACAAAGACACACGCAACAACTGACTAAAGCAAAAGATGGAAAAAATATTTACAAAGGCTTTAGTTCAGTATAATTTTCTCTTTTGTACACATCCCTTCAACTCAAACTTCAGTTTTTCTTAACCATTTCCACTCAAACTTACCATAGAAATAAAAAATCTAGTATATGCAACCAAGGAAATACATTAATTGAAAAAAATAAAATAAAACTTGAATAAAGAAAATACTCAGCCCTGGTAATAGGTGTAAGAGAAGTCATATTTACATCTATTAAACCCAAATTCATAGTCTTTGTATCTTTGATTTTTGAGCATTTTTTGTTTCCTTTAAAGTTATCAAGTTTAAATGACTTGAGTTTTTTAGAGTTGTCGGTCGACCGTGGGGCTCTTTAAGGGTTTTCTCAATCTTTTGCACCCACAAAAAAAATCTGAGATCTCAGAAAAAAAAGTGCAAATTAATAAATTAATCCTCCTGAGTCAAGTTCCCTCTGACTTAATTCCTACCGCGCGTCGGAACCACTCAACGTCCACACGTCAGTGAAGGCGTCCGCAAGCAGCAACGACGATGCGGCAGCAGATGGAGCAGCTCCACGTCGTCACACACTGAATTCTCCCTTAAAAAAAACAAAAAAAACAGCATTCACACAAATGTGCAGAACAGTTATCATATTGTCCTATTTTTCTTATTTCACTGTCCATAATAACAGAATGAACACAACTTTACGATAACTATAACAGTTCTGAACTTTTAGTCACCTTTTCTGTAACTCAGTTTCAGTTGCCTTTAACTTATTTATTTATTTATTTATTTATTTTTTACAGCACAACACATTTACTTTAACCACAATTCACAGTTCAAATACACACAATTCACCCAGTGCTTCACTAGAGCTAGTTCAACAGCCAAACACGTTACACTTACATAGCTTTTAGGCTAATGCGATTAGCCGACAGAGGTGGACGGCTAAACAGCTCATAACAACCATAAACAGTTTTGCATCACTTAAAACATTATATCCTTAGTGGTTTTGCTTATCAGGTTTCTCAAAATACATTGACACACAATTCCAGTCTGTAGCAATGAAGTGTTAATGCTAATTAGCTAACTTTGAGTAGCTAACTCACCGGTAGAATCCACTTAATTGAGAAGAAACGCTCACCTGGGTTCATTAGATGATAATTCCTCTGTCAACAGCCACATCAAGCGTCTTTCCTGGGATTACTGTCATCTCTACTCAATCGCACGTCTCGAAAACTGGTAAAAAAAAATGTTTTATTTCACCTCCCAGACTCACATTTGTCTGCATCACGGGTCCCAGGTAGCTGTGTGTGTGTGTGTGTGTGTGTGTGTGTGTGTGTGTGTGTGTGTGTGTGTGTGTGTGTGGGAGGGGGGTGATCTGCTTGCGAGACGTTTAGGGGTCATCTGTAAATTGGGGCTACAGAGAATCCTCCAGGAAGTACCTTCAGTAGTAACTTTCTGTAGTTTGACCACAAGATGGCAGTAAGATGCCAGGTCACGCAGATGATGGACGTGTTTACAACAGCGGCAGCATGATTCACAGCAATGGTATGACCTTGCCCACAATAGATTCATTAACTTGATTTGGGGAATGTAATAGCTTGGTGTCCAACCATTAACACCCACTTATCATAGTTTATAGGCAAAATGTGCAGTTGTTGTGTTTATGCAGCACACTTCATTACTCCCTGACTCTACCCTTCAGCTATATCTAGTGCCAAACATTACGGAAGTTAAATCCTCCTCTTGCCCTTCATGCAACTGAACCAGTGTTGTCTAGTCCTCTCTGACAAAGTCTGAAAGCCTGGCTCATTCAATAATCTCCCCTCCTTCCTCATACCTCCTTCATGCCTTCTGAGCTCCCAGCTTGCTGAGCTCTGCTCCATCCCTCTCTTTGCTGTCTTGTTTACTCAGCTTTCTCTCTATACTGCTGTGGCGCTCTATCTCCTCGATCTGCAGGCAGGCGGTTCCACTATCTACCTGATCCAAGGATTTCATGTAAACCAGACAGCAGTTTTTCCACTGTCACGCTCTCTCTCAGCACAGTTACAGATGATGTAGTGCAGAAAATCATGTTTGTTTGTTTTTTTTTAAACAGAAAAGGGCTACGTGAAGGTGACTGACAAGCAGAATGAGCACTGACAGGAAAAGTTCAGCTCACTGTCAGTCAAACATCGGCGGCTCTCCTCCAAATGAATCAGTCCCATGATCCTATTTAAATTTTTTGTCATGCATTCTTAAATTAATTATGGTGACATTTAAACCAGAATAATGCATTAGTATGTCAGTTTCCCAGCTGCTCATTGATTCTCTATTGTATTTGTGTTTTGAATGCATACATGAATACTGATTAATTGAGCAATGAAAGTGGTTATTTGTAAGAAATTTACTCAGACAAACCAACACTAAAATAAATAATTTAAACAAAATCTATATGCACTCAAACACATAAGCAGTTGTACACAAGTGTGAGTGTTTTTAACAACATTGTTTATTATTTCAAATGTAATCAAAACAACAGTAGTTACAGAAATTACAGACAGCCATGATACTGTGTGATTTTGAGTCTTATTGTGTGCTATGGAGTGTCATGATAACATAAAAACAAGGTCACAGCTGAAAGAAAAGTCCACGTCTCGTTTCTTTACATTGAGCTCTTTACATTCAGCTCTGGCTACCGCCATCCAATCCAATTCATAAGTCAGAGAATAAAGAACAGCACACAGCAGTTACCCATCCCAACAACACCACTATGCTGCTTTATCATCATCATCATCATCATCATCATCATCATCTCAAACAACATGTTAAGAAAGTGGGAGTGAAAGCAATTAGTCAAGTCCAGTGAAGCAAGTGAAGGTTTGGCTGCCGGACAAACCTCCTGTTATATGCTCAGAGCATTTTCGGCTTTTGCAGAAGAATCCGACCGTCAGCCACTTTCTCTGACTGCGTTTGGAGAGTGGTTATAAAAACACTTGCAGTTTCAGGTGGCAGTGTGCAACAAGCAGATGTCCCAAGCAATTGCAAAGAGCTTTTCTCCACAGGGATAGATCTAACAATATATATTTTTTTTTTTTAAAAACAAAAAAAACAACAAACATCTGTAGGCATGAAGACGCCACTGGCGCGTTAAACTAAACCTCCCTGTTCTCTCCTGTTTGCCTTTAAAACACAATCGTGGAAGGAAGTTAGGAGGACTCATGAACAGGGGTTTAAAAATGGGGTTGGTACCAATGAGACCACATCAGACCTCAGTGGCGTTATGAAGGAGGGTATGTGTGAGGCATTAAAACAGCCAGTGAGTCCCTAATTTGGTGTTTGTACTTGGTGACACGTGAGTGTATCTTTGGGGTGTGTAGGTTATAGCTGATGTGTTAATGAGAGTGTATTTAGAGGATTAAATGCTCTCATTTAGATTTTTTTTTAAAACAATTTCACTTTTAACAAAAGAGAAACGACTTTTAGGAGGACAACTGATTAACCAACTGGTCTGGGGAACGTAACTCTTGGGAAACATTAACCCCAGTTTGTGCCTCTTGTGTATTAGCATATGTTCGGGTTAGATTCGGTTTAGTTAGACAGTATTTTCAGAATATGAAAAGACTCTTCAAACCAGACTCTTTTTTTAATCATAATTCAGCAGACAGAATAATTCTTCATCTGGATGGTTGGAGTCTTTGGTCACTCTGAAAATACCTCTAGAATAATGGCAAACAACCTTTTTTCAAACATTGCAGGTTAATCATCTTTTAAAGATTCAACAGGTTGTGTGACAGTATTTAACTACTGATCCGCTCCAAAGTTATGATTGGACAATCGCTGTTTGGGGGAGGGGTTTAGAGAAACGACATTATAAATGGCACCACTATAAGTTAACCAGCAAACCACTACACACTCCACTGACTGGTCTGTTCTGTACGGTGGTGTGCTGAGTACTGAGGTGTGGAGGCTGTGGGGAGTCTGAGGTAAAAATATCGCACTCAGATGCTGATTAGTCTTTGGTCTCAATGTGATGGTGACAAGGTGTGAATTAGAAAAAAAAAAAGGATCCAGGTGCTTTTTCAGTGTCAAACTGAACGGGTGTAATATTGCACGTTTAATTTTTCAGTAGAATTCCAGGAAACTGATAGTGTCTGTAAAAAATGCGTCTACAATCATTGGTGTAAAACATGATTTTGTCAGGAAATAATAATCAACAGTAGAAATGAGTGATTGAATTTGCTCAGTCAGAAGCCTTGTGTTTTGATCGGTGACAGCAATGACTGGAACAGTATTCACATTTAAGTAAAAAAGTACAGAAAAAAAGGCCACTCATAAAAAATAAAGTTTTTCAGTACTATTACTGCTATACTAAAAATGTTTGCCATGAGTTACCTGAATCTGCAAATGTTTTGGCCTCGGTATATACATTTATGTGTTAATACGGATGAGTCAATCAAAGTTGTTAAACATGGACACAGAACTGGTTATGCTGGCGACATACTGGAAAAGGAAACCACACGGTAAAATCAAGAAAAAAACTCCAACTAGACCAGTGTGTTTTCTCGCTCACACAAACTGTATCCAGATACCTCAGATTCAAATCAATAAGAATCAACTGTGCAGAGCCAGCTCAAACATATGCACCCATAAAGCAGGTGGATATCCAGTCACCACTGTAAACTGCTCTCTTCTGCATTCACACACACACACATTCACACACACACACACGCACAGGAATCACTTACACTTTAGAAAATATATTCACACTCACAAGCGCCTGTCTTGCAATTTTGCATTAGTACCACATGTCAAATGAGAAAAAAAAAAAAATGTGCATGGAGAAAAAAAAAAAGTGCAAACCCTAGTCAGGGACAAAATGGCACGGCAGTAATGAAGAAAATAAAATAAAGCAAAAATAAAAAAACAAATAAAATGGTATCGATGACGTAAGGAATCAATCAAAGAACCAATCAAGATAGAGAGAAAGATAGAGTGTGCCCATCACCCACTCAAAAAACTAAAAACAAAAACACTGATATATTCTCAGTGAACAGAAAAAAAAAAGAAAAACATCACACTTCATTTTCAGAAAATGAAACCAGCCAAATAATAATTCAACAAAACGCTGAATGGTCAGAGCTGTACTCCGAGGTGTGATCGATCGCAGTGACAGGAGTTCAGCTCGCGTCATGTCGCACAGCCGCAGCCTCTCTGTGCAGAGCGGGCTGTGGAAAAGTCAATGAAGCCTGCTATTGTATTGAAAAGCAATACCGACGGTCTATACAGATACATGTGCCAACCCCTGTGAAAAACAACACACTGAAAGAAAAGAGGAAAAGAAGAAAAAAAAAAACCTGATGGATATACAAAGGCCTATACTGTATAACCCCACCGACAATTAAGTGGAAATCTCTGTTCACATACTCTGTATTGTTTCTGAAAATATATATTGTATAATTCACCCTGCTCCCCCCTCAGACACACCAGCAGCGGTCTAGGCAGTCAGGCTGTACAATCCCTCCATGGCAACATGACAGCAGCCGTACAAACTCTTAACCAATGGTGACTGAGTCGATGACGTCAATGCTGTCCCCTCCCTCTGTCCCCGACAGGTCAGTTCCTGTCCAACAGGAGCTGAACAATGCGTTTGTCTGGGATCGTTTTTCAGGGTTTTCTCACTTCCCCATAATGGCGGCCGCTGCATCCAGTCTCATCTAGCACTCAATGGGCCGGTACGACAGTCTTTAACGAGTCATTGTGTACACTGAGCTCCTCCGATGATCAGCAGATCCTGGAGGTCCCTGGTGAGAAGTCCCCGTGGAGCAGGAGGGAGGAGGGCTGGCACAGGAGGTGTGGGGCGGTGGTCGGAGGGGGGGTGGGGTGGCCACCCCCCCTCCGACCACTCGCCCCACACCTCCTGTGCCAGCTCCTCCTCCCTCCTGGCTCCAGGCGGACTTCTCACCAGGGACCTCCAGGGATCTCTGATCATCGAGGAGCTCAGTGTACACATTGACTTCGTTAAAGGA